TAGTTTTCTTCTGAGGGGGAAGCTCTGTCTACTGGGGAAAATTCAGAATATTGAAGAATATTTTTTTAGAAAATGATAACTGAAATAGAACGTGTTTTTTGTTATGACAAATAATTGTTGAAATGCTTAGCTATAGATAACAAAGATTTTTTTTTAAAGAAATAGTGTTTACTTTCCAAAAGTGGCAGGTAGATAATCTTATTTGTTTTGTAAATGCACATTGTTTTTCATTACAGCAGGTGATTTACAGGAAGTTTCATGTTTCAGCTTGCGATAGTTGACCGCAAACATATTAGTTGTTTGTGCAAACAATAATTATTGTTGGAGCTATTTTTGTGTTTGTGTAACTATGAATGAGGATTAAGTACCTATTTTAAGGCGTTATTAAAGTTTGTTTAGACAAAAGGAAACATCAAGGTTTCCCTTTTCTGGTTCGTTTAATTAAATCAAAATTTTTCATTTATTTAACACTTACTCTTTATATTCAAGATGCTCGGATTTTTCATTTCAAGTTTTTATGGCAACTGTTTAGACATTTTTGCGACCTAAACCACTAAACCGATTTTGATGAAATTTGACATAGAGATAGTTTGAGCCCCGGGAAATTAAGGACATAGGAAGTTTTATCCCGGTTTTTGAAACGGGACGCCACCCAATAAAGTTTTTCCGTGACATACAGAATTTCACGCGGGCGAAGCCGTTGGCAGAAAGCTAGTCCATTATTAAAGGAAAGGTAAAATGGTGTTATAATAGGTATACTGCATATGAGTATTTGTGTACTGACTCGGTGCTGAAAAAGCGTCAGTGCAGTATTTTCCTCATGAGAAATACCTAAGTAAGATACAATGTTTTTTTTCTTTTCCACTCAATTTAGGTCTACAATCGCGAAACTCAGAAAACCTACCTAATAACTGTTGCTACCTACTTATATTTTCCTATGTGTCCATATTAAATCAGCAATAAGCTCAAGGATATGACGTCACTTGTGTATTGTTGAAAGTGTATTCTTCGATGCGCTCGCGCAGGTCGTGACACATTAGTTCCGATTGTCGAGAAGAGAATAGAATGATAAACAATGCTTCTTCGTGCGGTCATCGAGGCCTGGAAAAACGAGTCTATTCTACATATAATAACTATCGTTAGCGCTAGAGTGAACGCCTGTAGATAATGTAAGATTTGATTTCCATTCGGTATCGCTACGCTATGTTCTTAAAGTTACTCGTAAGTAAGAAACATGATAAATGAACTTTTGCGAATTGAAACGAATTATATTGCACTTACTAAATTAATAGTTACATTCGTGTTTTAAATAGAGGATGTTTACATACTGAAAGTGACACACTAGTGTTCAACACGCGTGTAACTTTTCCACTCTACCTACTGTCTTGTGCGTAACATAAGGACATGTAGATTGTAGGTAGTACCTACAAATTTATGCCACATAAATTACTGGTTACATTATAAATAGTGACATTTATTTTAACTGACTTCCAGGACATCCTGCCCATTGTGAACTAAACAAAAAGATTTAAAAGCATTTTAGATAAGTAATAGCTTAAAATTTTGTTTAAAATTAATCATCGTCGTTGCTAAAGATTGTTTTTCTTGGGCTGAGTTGCACAACCTAGCTTTGACCGTAACTTTGACATAACCAGTGTTTTTTGTATGGAGATTGACGGATTTTTGACGTTTGTTAAAGTTAAAGTAAGATGGTGCAACCCAGCCTTACTATTTTTTGAGAACAAAGATCACCAATAGCCTATTTATTTATATCGGAAAGTCATTACTTATACTTATATCTTTCTATACTTGCAGGTACTAAAACAATGTTGTCTACATTGTAGCTGCTTTACATACAAGTGGCAGTGACAGACGATGACTGTTAATACCCACATTCTACAGGATCCTCCATATTGGAAGCAATAGAATAAAGGACGACGTATATTCATCACAATACGATTATGAAGTCTACGTGATCGAAATTTCTATGGATAGGCTTTTTAGGATGTATTGAAATAGACATTTTCTTTAACTACCTTCTATGAGAATACCCATTGCACAGAAACTCTGTACTTATTACTGTATGTAATATTTTTTTAACTATTTTTTATTTACTTAATATTTTAAGTCATATTTTGTGTCTGAAAATAAGTGCATGTAACTTCTTAAACAATATGTGGAGAAGCTTAATACCACTTGCTTAAAACGGTAGAGTTATGGAAGTTTAATAAGTCACCATAGTAACAATAATTTTCAATTTATCATTACATAATTTGCTTTGCTTAGTTTGTGATAGACTACTTGTGATTGTTGAAACATTTTATTATTGATCAATTCATAATTAATTTGTTATCCTCATTCCAATCACCTCTCACTGCATACTAGAGAGTGCCAAATTACCAACTGTAGTTAAGTGCCTTTTTCCTGTGATGCGTTTTCGGCACGCGTGCAGATCTGGTCATTTAATTATTTCATACATTTTATTATTTCATACGTTTTCCTATTACAGGAAATATATTCTAATTTATGGGACAGTATACTTGGGATATGTCAAAACTATCAATTTAATTTCATCTCTACAGTTGCCATGCAATTGGCAACCAAAGTAATTGTTGTATTATATCTGGTGTATTAATAAACCAACACACGTTTTGTCTGGCTATGTAGCCTAATCTCCAAACTACAAATACAACGGGACTATTCCCACCTCTCGTTCCCACCGCTGCAACTCCTGTGTAACCAGGATCTACAGTTTGACCGCCAATAAAATACCCAACCAGTGAAGGTCAAGTTTATCCCGGGGGAAATGAAACTTATACCTAAACTACAGTCAACGGCACATTAGATTATACATTTTTGTTTCAAAATAGCATCTATTACAACGAAATAAAATTCCACAGAGTTAAGCTTGATGTGCTATCGTCAGAAACTACGCGTTTCGTAGCTACTTTTATAGTTTTCTTCAAGGATTTTCGTTTGTTGATACGGAAATATAACAACGCGAATTCGTGGTTTTAAACCGACTGTCTAAAAGAAAAATCTGTGTGATATAATCGTCTCTTGTTTATTATAAATGAAGTATTGTGTGTGCGATTTTCAATTTGTTTTTCAATTGATGTGGATGTAGAGTTTTGTGAAAATAATATTACAATAAAGTGTGTTTCATCTATCTATCTAGAAGCCTTGAAATTGAAGTTCAGGATTTGGATACAACTATCTCGCGTGCTATCCAATGATTTATTTATTTATTTATTTAAGGACAACTAAGTAACAAGAGATGATTATAGCCATTACATTAGACCGATTCATAAGTTAGTTTAACTTAGATAAAATAAATCAAATGCAATTGTCAATAATAATGAAGATTAGAATATCATTTATGCTCTACTATTTGCTCTACAGGACAATTATTTATACAATTACTTACATAGTAATTAAATTTTATCATTAAGTACCTACTCACTTAACAGTTAGTTTTTGTCTATGTTGCTAAGCGTTATTTTCATTCTAAGAGTTAGTCTTCCTGTAAGTTATTTGACATTGTTTTGTTATTATTATAGAGGGATTTTCAAATTCATATTCAAATTCAAATTCGTTTATTTCTTTAACTTAGCCTAGTTCAGTTACAAGTTGTTGGAGCTTCCTGTTAAGCAACAGATGTTACTTGTGCTAGGAAGCACCGCTCTTCCATAACAATATTACAGTAGGTAGTAGATTTGTACCATATTAATCAAGTTATGTAAGTAGGTTATAAACAAAATAAACTTTATGTTTTGAGACTGCGCTGCGCCCAAATTAATTCCTTATCTTTTATAATAAGGGATTATATTATCTATCTAATCTCAACTTCCTCCACTTATCGCAAAATATCCTAAACAATGTCAGTTTACCTTGTTTAAATTAATTTTGGTACTTATATAAGTATTGCATAGAAATATTTCTATGCATAACGTCGCCATTTTTATTTAGACTCTTACTTACTCGTACCTACTAGGTTTTAATTTCATACCAATTATTTTAAGAAGTACCTTTATTGATGAAGACTGTTCTACATATTTGGAGCAGGTAGTTTTAATATTAGCTCATACTTTTCCAACAGTATTGTTTAAGTTGTGAATGCTTAAACTAAAACGTTTATTTTAATTTGTATAGAGAACAATAGTGTCTGGACAAACCTCAAGAGGATTTAAGACACTATTTAAATCTTAAATCTTTTCTTTTTTAAATCTTTTCTTTGGACAATTTCACACAGCGCCAGCTAGCCCCAAAGTAAGCAACTTAATGCTTGTGTTATGGGTGCTAGCTTAACGGATATAATACTTATATTTTTTTTTTAAATACATACATATTATACATAGTCACACCCAGACCCGTCACAGAAATTAAAATTCATCATTTCAATTTCTGCCCGGCCGGGAATCGAACCCGGGACCTCTCGGCATAGTAGTCCGTTCTGAACCACTACACCAAACGGCCGACCAACCGATTTAAATCAAAGATGTAACGGATAAAATATAATGTTATAATAAATATATGAACAATCATTAGTTTTCTACGATGGAAAACCCGTAATATGTATGTCTCTACATTTCGCGTCTGTTTTTGTAATTCTTATATCTCAATCAATCTTTGGAAACGTTCATTACTTATTAGGACCTATCAGATTAGGCTAGATGACTCAGGCAGGTATCAATAAGTACTTACGATACCATCTATTGAATAAAACATAAGATATAAAAGCTTGAAGTTAACTGTTTTCAAATAAATTATCAAACATTTGTGTCTATTTAGTTGTAATTTACGACTTTTATCATGAGCGGTGTGTTTATTTTCCGTAAGCTCCTTCAATCCAGTTTCCAAAAGCTCGCGAGTCCGTCCGATGTCGGTCATTTGGTCTACGCCTAACGGTTCGAAAGTTATGACCCGGTGGCCGAGCATGCTTTAGCGCATTTCAAGACCTATAGTCCTACTTTTAAGACCCATACGTGACACGCACTTACCTTTTTAGCGCATACACATCACAAGAAACCAAAACTCGTGTGAAACTGCTCGGAACTCGTGCAAAAACCACAGATCACACTCACGGTAACAAAGCACTGGCACAAAATTAAAACAGTTTCGTAACACAACCGGTCATTAAAAAAGAAAACAACAAAAAAGAAAACAAGGAATTCTAAATTTGAATTTGGTGCGCGGAAGATTGTGGCGTCGCGAGCGCCGTGTCACGACTGAGACGCGCGCCGGCGGCCGCGGCGGGGTCTAATTTTATCGCGCCAGTAATACGAGATAAAGCCGGTCTTTTTCCAATCGTTTTATTTGTAATATCAACTGGAGAGAGCTGTGTGATTCAGAACAAATGAGACGTTGTCTTCGCTGATGAGTTACGTCTGCTGCACTGTCGACGGATGTTGCACGCTAGCTCTTGGAGTATCTTTGCTTTTAAATAGTGGTGATTAAGCCAGAATCTTTTTAAATGTAACCCTGCCAATATTTTCCGAATTATTATAGCTTACAAATTGTAAAACATTAATTTTTTCCCTTTATTTTTTTGTAGTTTTGATACCTTTGCTCTACCAATTTTGTTTAAGGCATTTGAAAAGTGGTAAGCAGATGGTTCCGTACGTAGTGGTGAAAGACGCTGCACGCGCTGTAGCGAAGCAGGTAGACGATTCAGCGAAAAACATTCATCATAGTACGCTGTAGCGTAAAGGCTACTGAAGCGAAACACGCTACTTACTAGATCTAGTGCTAGACCTTACCTTAAGATACCTTTTGATATAAAACTTAACGTCTTATTAAAACAAGACTCTGCATAAAATATGATGTATTAAAAGATGATTACTTTTAACAAATGTCAGTGTGCAAAACCGTTGTTTTTGGATAAGTTAACAAGCGATTAAAAATCGTCTAATGTCGTAAAAGTGTTAGGTATAACTCTAAGGTAGGTAGGTATTGGTGGTAAAATTTTCCTAGTCATTGTTTAACCAAAAGCCTAGGTGATTTATAATTTAGTTATGAGTTTAAAATTTTGTCGTTAATACAATATTCGATGACACAAAACTGACTCATGCATGCACAATACAGGAAACAAAATAGAATGCCGCAATGGTGTAATGTGAAATATTTTGGTTTACTACCTTGACCCTTTCACGAGGCACAAAATGTAAAAGTTATCACAATATCTTCACGGATTTGCTATCTGATAGACAGCTCAAATTCTTCTTATTTATTTACTAGAAATTTAATTAATTTATAAGTTACTATTACTACCTAAGGTAGGTACCTAAGTCGAAACGCCGTAAAAATTCAAACTAGGATTTACCTATATTATTTAGAATCGAAAATTAATTATACNCAAGGCTGTAGGTTCTTAAGATACCTACTTACCAAAACGTATGTTACGTAAATAGGTAATAAACATAAATAGAATTCGCTAAATGGTCATTGGTCAAAGTTTATTATAGGTAAACGCTTGGTAAAGGTAATATATGAGATTTTTGTAGAGACACTGACTCTAGATTTGATGTTATCGGTTTCTTTGTAGTCTGTTGATGGGTTGAATATTAATTAATTGCTATTTAATTACTTATTAGGTACATAAAGTTGTTGCAATTATAAGATTTAATTAAATTGATTATGGTAGGAAAGGTGCAGACTCGAAAACACATGTAATAAAGTTCCTTAATAATTGATTATGTAACTTTACGTAATTCTCATTTGTGATCCATGTTTGTGATTTGGTCGGATAGTAAAAAAGTAAACATTTTAATAAAATAGGTACTTAATTCCGTTTATTTATAGCAATGTTAAAGTACTTGCCTGTGTATTATGAATCCATTTATGTATTTTAGACAACACCCAAAAACACATCATCTATTCACCGTAGTAGAGCTTGTAGAAAATAAAATAGGATTGTAAAGAAAGAGATGTTTACTTTATGCGGACATTTTATTGACAGCTTAATCACTTGTCAAACAAATAAAAATATAAAATCTTCCGTCCATCGACAAACTCAAAAAGAGGTTTTGTACAACCCTCCGAAGAATAAATAAGAGAAAAAACTAATTCTCTGCTTCTAGTTCCAGAGGATAGAGTCGCTGCACCGGTCGCGTCATCACTCCTGTCGCCGTCCGGATTTCCGCCACTCTAGGCCATCCATCAGTACCAGTTATAATCTTTATGACACGGCCTAGTGGCCACAGCGTCCTTTTCTGGCTACTCTCTATCAGCACTATCTCGCCGACCTTAATTTGCCGCTGCACAGCCCTCCGACCGCGATGAATCAGCAATGCCAAATACTCCTTCCGGAAACGACTTCTGAGCTCTATCCTGAGGTTCTGCATACGCTTAGATACTGAGTTGAGGCATTTGGCATCGACCGCATCTATGTCTTCCACTCTTGTACTTGGCAACTCGTGCAGAAACATTGCTGGTGTTAGCGTACTAACCATGTCATTCTGGCCAGTGTAGGTTAGCGGTCGCTCGTTGACAACTGCTTCTACGTCACATAAAATTGTATACAGCTCAATATAGTTTAAGCGAGCTTTACCTAGTACGCGCCGCAACAAGTCTTTGATAACTCTGAACAGTCTCTCAAACCAACCGCCCCACCATGCTGCCGTAGGAGGATTGAATATCCATCTTATCTGTTTTACTGCCGTCTCGGCTTCAATATCTTTCCAATTCAACTTCTTGAATAAATTTTGGGTACCAGTGAAATTCGAACCGTTATCAGAATATATAGTGTGAACACGACCACGTCGTGCAATAAACCGCCGTAATGCACTAAGAAAGGCGCTAGTACTTAATGAGTCTACCAACTCCAGATGCACAGCGCGAAACACGGCACACGTGAATAGAACAATATACACTTTATCTCCTGACTTTAAATACAGTGGACCCGCCAGATCTACTCCTGTTGTTTCAAACACAGCTGAAGTTTCCTTTACCCTGTTTAATGGCAATGGTACACTTGGAGTTTCAAAATGTTTCACTGAAAATCTTCTACAAATGGTACATCTTGTTACAACTTTTCTGCATAACCTTCGGATGCCACAAATCCATACTTTACGCCGTAAGCTGGTAATCATAATCTGGACACCTGCATGACATAGCTGCTCATGGCGTTCGCGCACACATTTTTCCACTATGTCATGTTTGCTGGGTAACAATATTGGCTTTTTGAAGTAAGTGTCTCCATCTGTATATAAAAGTTTAGTCACCACTCGCGCAACTCCTTTGTCATCTAGTGAACACTGGATATTGCTATCTGCCACTAGTTTTCCTTTGTAAGACTCTTGTTGAATGATCTCAAACAACTTCATTTCTGCTCGATTGTACTCGCTAAAATTCACATGTTTATTCAAGCACCTTTTATTTCTATTTCTGCAATTTTCAATAAATCGTATCACAAATGCTAATACTCTAACGATACGCGAGTACTTGCTGATTTTAGAAAATATATCCGTAAAGTTTGGTATATCCGTATTAACATTTACGGTTGTTTCCTGAACACTATTTTCTTCACTCGTTGCGACATTTTCAATAATCGAAGTGTCAGGCCATGTTTCTTCACTTTGTTTTAACCATGACGGTCCGTTCCACCATTCCGATTGTACTAACTCTTTGGGACAGCAACCACGAGAAACAAAATCTGCTGGATTAAGTGAACCTGGAATATGTCGCCAGTCAGCTATTCTTGTGCATCTCTTTATCTCGTCGACTCTATTCTTGACGAACCTGTCCCATTGTGAATCCTTTTTTATCCACGTTAGTACAACACTCGAATCGGTCCAATAATATAAATCACAATCGATCCTCAAAGCGTCTTGAACTAGCCTACTCAACCTGGTGCCGATGACCGCCGCTAACAATTCCAAGCGCGGTATTGTGACTTGTTGTTTGCTAGGTGCAACTCTTGCTTTTGCTAGTACCAAGCTCACGTTCACGACGTCATCCTTTTCAGTTCGCATAAAAATGCAAGTTGCATATGCGTTCATGCTTGCATCGCAAAATATATGCAAACTTCTTTTGCCGTCCATTAGACGCAGACTAGATAAACGTCTCGGGATTTTGACGTTATTTAACTCAGCTACTTCTTTTTGCCAATTCTCAAACTCTGTGGTCAAACTTTCCGGTAGCTCATCATCCCAATCATGACGTTTATGGGTTAGCCACGCTCGTTGTAATATGAGCTTCGGGATCAAAGTCGTGGGTGCCATAAATCCTATTGGATCAAAAACCCGATGCGCGATAGACAATAGACTGCGTTTAGTAATATTCCCTTGTTTCATTGTATTCAGACTCTCTACTTTGCAGGTTAACACGTCGTCTTTTGTATTCCAGTTTAATCCCAATACAGATACCTCTTCATAATCTGGAACTGATTCTGAATTTGGTGCAGTTACCCACCCCCTCAAATCAAACTTTCCCATGGCCATAATTTCACGAGCTTCTGAAACAAACTTAGGCACTTCTTCTTCCTCTAAACTAGTTACACAATTATCTGTGTAAAAAGAGTACAATAACCTCTCAGCTGTCTCCTTCCATGGTCCATTGTAATTTTCCAGGTGGTGTTTTATTGTTCCCGCTAATAAGAAAGGGCTGCATGTTAGACCAAATACAACTCTACAGTGTCTGTATGTAATGATCTCTTTCAATTCCGAGTCTTTCCACCACAGAAACTTCAAATATGTCCTGTCACTCTCCTTCAAAGATATTTGTAAAAATGCTTTCGCAATATCTGCAGAAATACCGACAGCGTTCATTCTAAAACGTGTCAATAACGTTGGTATCAGCTCAATCAAATTAACTCCCTTCTCTAGACAAGCGTTCAATGAGTATTTATTTTTACCTTTTGCTGAAGCATCGAATACAGGTCTTGTTTTGGTAGTAAGGCTTGACTCCTTTATAACGGCATGATGTGCTAAATAATGTCCCTGTCCGTCGTCAGGTTCAACTTCTTCAATAATACCTAATTTCAGCCATTCTTGAAACGCGTTGTCGTAATCCGTAATTTTGCCGATAGCCTTTAATCTTTTCGTTGTAGAAAATAGTCGCTTCTCTGCTAAATCTTTATTTGATGACAGTATAGTTCGATCATGCTTCCATGGTAAAGTAGTCTCATATCTTCCTTCGCTGTTAACAATCAAATTTTGCCTGAAACTTTCTATTACCTCATCTGTTCCGTCTCTAGGCTTGTCAAGTATACCGATTGCCTCTAAATTCCATAGATCGGCAATGTCTAGTTCCGCTTTCGAAAACAACGTACACACCCGTGGGTCCTTCTGGCCATCTACTTTGCCTTGCAAAGTCCATCCAAGTTTTGTCTTTATGGCTACTAACCCATCTGTAACATTCAAAAACGTTCCGGTCATAATGTAATTAGCATAATCTGCCCCAATTAATAAATGTATGTCTTTGCAACTTTCGATGTCCCCCAAGGCAATGTTCCACTGTTTTACTTGCGCACTCAACTCACGACTGGCTGCTGGTATCGTTCCACATATTTTCTTTTCAGTCAGTGTGGTCATGTTGAGCTTAAAAGATTTATCTATACTTTCTACAATGATCTCATATAATTTATGTTTCTGTGATTGTCTTTCTGCTCCTCCAAATAACTGATGTATTAAAGACTGCTCACCGACCGGTTTCACTCCTAGCCTTGTGGCCAAATCATCCGTTATATAAGATCGCTGAGCACCCGTATCAATAAGAGCTCGAACGGTTATTCTATTCGAGTCCTTGTCCAAGACATTCACTGCAAGGGTCTGTAACAAAGTGACAGTATTAACTTGTGACGACGACATCGCTGCACTAATGTCTTTTGGTTGTTCCTCAGCTTTCGCGGCACGGTTTATATCAGGACACATTATAGTCATATGTCGTCTTGCGCAAATAAGACATTTTATAAAATATCTACATACTTTAGCATGATGTCCGATACGCAGGCAAATCATACAACATCTCTTCTTCCTAATTACTTCTTTCTTGTCGTCGTAACTCATCTTAGCAAGCTTGAAACACTCGAAGCTGGAGTGGGTCGATTTATCACACCATATACACCCTACCACACGATTCGAATCTTTACTGGTACCCGCTACTAAACAAGAAGCTGTTGGTTCCTTGCTGTATTGCGCTGAATCTATATTGAAAGACGTTTTCGCTACCGCAATGCGCTCATTACTCTCAACTTCCTTTTGCAAAAATTGTAGTAAATTGGAAAGTTGTTTACCTGTGTCATCGCTTTTGTTATCTCCAGCTTGGTACCTTTCGTAAGCTTTGAGTATATCCGTAGGCAGCGCAGACTCCACTAGAGGCAGCAGCATGGCGGCGTACTTGTCCGATGTTACTTGTAGCGACTCCAGAGCTCGCAGATAAGTTGTCAACTTGTCGTAGAGGTTGGTCAGCGGAAGAGGCTGTTTTACCTGTGATAAAGTCAAATTTAGTAAATCTCTCACGTACACATCAATCAGCAGATTATCTCGCGCAAACCTCTCTTTCAATTGCGACACCGCTTTGTCATAATTCTCGGCGGCTGGTGGGAAACTTTCCACAAGACTTCTGGCCGACGAATTCTCTTCCATGCATTGGATAAGGTATTGAAACTTGTCATACTTATCTATTAGCGGGTCTTCGTCTACTTTTTTGAATTGGCCCCAGAAGCCAATCCAGCTCCTTACGTTTCCGTCGAATTTTCTGAGTTCCAATTTGGGCAAGTTAAAGTTTCGCTTATAACCAGCACTCTCGCAGCTGCATCCGTCAAGCGATTTATATGCCCGTAAACTCTGTGAATCGGCCACATCGTGTGACACTAAACGGTCAACTTTTCTCTTTAAAGCGGTCCATTTCATTCTATAGTTATCCGCCTGGTCCATCTCATCATCAATCTCTTTTTCATCGCCGCTATCCACAAGGTATTTATATATCTGTACGTCATGGTCGAATAGCTCTTGAACTCGTGGTTCCAATGTATCTATTGCCGCAGCTATGGAATCCACGTCGGGCTCACTCATGTCCAACATACGATGGATATCATTTGTCCTCCTTGTAAATAATTTGCGCAACCGTGTGCGCTCCTTTTTTACGGCTTCTAAATTCATTTTTACTTCACAGGGTCGCCAGATGTAGAAAATAAAATAGGATTGTAAAGAAAGAGATGTTTACTATATGCGGACATTTTATTGACAGCTTAATCACTTGTCAAACAAATAAAAATATAAAATCTTCCGTCCATCGACAAACTCAAAAAGAGGTTTTGTACAGAGCTCTTCTCTTCTACGTAGGTACTTATTCCCAACAGATCAGAAAAGTTTTAAAAATGTCCTAAAAATAAAAGCCATAACAAAGCATCGCAGGAGTAATTTAATCAGTTTTAATTACTCGTTAATTTCAAACTAAACGTAATCATAAAACGTGCCTTATTCGTAAATAATGTTCGAAATTTCTTACAATAATTGAAGGTAATCCTCGGAAATCGTTCGAGATGAATCAGTTGAGATTGTTGCCGAAATAAAGACGTTCGACGTTCGCACGTTCGAGGTCTGTCGCGTGTTAGTCACCCGACCTTACTTGCAGTAGGTGTACCTGAGGTACACTTGGCGCCGACAGAATCCTTAATTTTTACAAACATAAGGCCGAATGGCTTTGTAAAAAACTACGTTCAAATCACGAAAAGACTCAGCTACGATCTTTTGTGAGGTTATAAAATGCACGTTTTTTCATAATATGGGGTGTTTATCTCAATATCGCCATTTTGTTAGATACGCCTTTTCGTGATTAGACACACGATATGCAGTACCTGAGCACGAATAACAGTCGTAATCGTATTCCTTATCCCATAGCATTGCTGTTTAGTTTTTCATAAAAAAACCTACTGTCCTGTGATTGATTTTTATATTAATTAATATTTAAACAATCAATGCATGAGTTAAAAAGAGATTTAATAGTTTTCTTCAGTCAGTATTGCAGTTGTAGCAAATACACAGCCAATACATATAAATAATATTAAGATTTTTTGTGTTTTGTTAGTTATGGTAGTATCTGACTGACCACAGCGCCCTCAAAAGAAAAATATTGCGTGGACTGTACATCTGCTGTGGCAAGTACGAGCATTTTAAGGCAACAAGACATATTAGGATAAGTGCCTACTTGAGATTATCAGCGGTAGTAAACATGATGCGTTCTAGTTTGCCATTCAAAGCCAAAAGAAAATCTAAAAATAAACGGTTAATGATATACGAGGGCGGCACTGAAAATTTCGGGAATCAAGGAAGTGAAACAACATTACTATTTAAAAATGTTTTATTGCTTTTTAAAGTATTCTCCGCGAAATTTGACACATTTTTCCATACACGAAACCAATCATTGAAGCAAACATTGCATTCGGAAGTTTGGGTCTCCAAAATGGCCGTTTTGTAGGCTTCCACAGCTTCTTCAGGTGATGAAAATCTCTGACCACGCAATTTATTCTTTATTTTAGGGAAAGTATAGAAATCATTAGGGCTTAGGTCGGGGCTGTACGGCGGTTGGACTAATAATTATATGTTTTCTTGCTTTAAAAACTCTTTTGTTCAGTGCGCGGTGTGAGAACTCGCATTGTCGTGATGGAGGATGATGCGGCGGTTGCAGTTCTCTTTACGGAGTTCAGAAACGACCTGTGGCAAACAAATGCTAGCATACTAATCTGCATTAACCGTTCTTTGTCCCCCAAGAGGAATAGTCGCAACATGGCCGGTTTTGGAGACAAACGTGGCCACCATTTTTTTTGCAACACTCCGTGAACGAACAATTTTTGTTGGCTTTAATTCATTTTCGAACACCCAAACTCGTGACTGGTTTTTTGTTTCGGGTTCGTACGCGTATATCCATGATTCGTCACCTGATACGATGTTGTATACAGCATTTGAGGATCCTGCATGTAATCTCCCGAGAGTTCTGACGCACCAAGTAACGCGAGCCGCTTTTTGCTCTTCACAGAGCGCATGCGGTATCCATCGGGAAAACAACTTTTTTACACCTAATTGTTCATGCAAGATTATTTGTATTTGACTCATGCCAATGTCTAAAGTTGCCTGAATTTCGCGGTATATCACATGTCGATCTTCTTCAATCAGCTTACGCACAGCATCAACGTTTTCTTAGGTGACTGCAGTTTTTGGACGACCTTGACGGGGATCATCACTGAGCTTGACACGTCCACGTTGAAATTCAGGAAACCAGCGATAAATTGTGGTTTTGGATGGGGCTTCATTACCAAATGCAGAAATCATCCGGTCAACACACTGTTTTTGTGTTAAACCACTTCAAAAGTCATAATAAATCATCGCTCATGAATTTTCTCGAGACAATTCCATTTTCTCAACGACTAAACAAGTTTGACAAGACCTTGTGATACGACCGAGAATCTTTTTTTAAATAAATAAATGGTATACGATTTTTGAAACCCTGGAGTTTGCAATTAAATAGATTTTAATATGACTGGAACAGTGGAAATATTCCATTCCCGATACTTTTAGTGCAGCCCTCGTAAGCCGCTCTATATGGTCGACGCTACATTAAAGGTGGTTATGTAAATCTATCATTTATGTATTCATTTTATTAGCTTTTGCCCTCGACTTTGTTTGCGTAAAATGAAAAGTAGCTAGCCTAAAAACTTGAAGAATCAATTATTCTGATGTAGAGTGAAAAATAAAAGAAATTACTACAAGTTTTCCCCGGGAATGAAAAGGCGGGAAAATAAAACACATATTTGAAAAACCTTCGCATTGTGCTCATTCGTCATAAGCATAGACCAGTTACCATGGCAACAGACGTCAATACAAACGATTTGACGTTTTTTGTCACTGTGTATATTTCTATGGTGTTAATATTTTTCTGAGGAAATTGCTTTAACTGTATTTACGAAAGAAAGACTAATTAAAAAAACCTATTACTAACAGTACTGGGTTATCTACTTACTGGTGAGTGCCTGGTGAATTACTACTTTTGAAAATATTGTAGGCAAGTAAATTGATTTTCTTAACAAAGCTTTATTAATCCAAGCATAAAAATTATGATTACTCTCTGATCAAAGTTCTGTGGTTTCTCTTTTCAGAAACCAACTTGAAAAACAATGGATCTCAACCTCATAGATAAACTGCGACTTCTAAAAATCGACACAGAACTTCGTCCGCAAATAAAAATGAAACCGATGAGTCGCTACTACTTCATCACATCCACCAACCCTGGCGAACAGTTCTACGTGTTTGCCTCCACCGCCGCTTGGCTCATCAGAAAGGCTGGGAAAGACTTCGAGCAACCAAACGAGGAAGACGACCCAAATTCTATAATAGCTGCTATACTCGACTACCTCAGAGAGAAGGAAATAGCAATAGACTTCTCATCTCACAAACTAAAACAAGGCTACGGTGAGCAAGTGTGTTATATTCTAAACACTCTAGCAGATGAAGCCTTGAAGAAAATCCACTTCGAATGGCAAAAACCTATCGTCGACATCCCTGAAAGCGAAGAAAACGTCGAGGACTTAGATCAAGTTGAAGATGAGACGGAAATAATCCTGGATAAAGTTGAAGAAGAAATGGCTATTTACTCAGAAGAGTCTGATGGTGAGTACGGCAATGCAGAGGAAAAGGAGACCAGTAATATTGCCAATAAGGTTCACGATTGGGAAGCATGGAAACTGGAGCTGGAACGAGTGGCTCCAGCTTTGAGATTGAAGATTTCTGCTGATGGCCGAGACTGGAGAGCTAGGCATTCCCAAATGAGAACGTACAGGGATGAATTGTTTGATAGGTACAAGACAACTGGGACGCAATTGAACAAACTACACACGAACATTAGTTCTGTTATGGACAAGATTTCAGCTAGGGAGAATATTATCAATGAACAGTTTGAGCCGTTAGTGAAAGAATATGGTTCTCTTTTAGATGAGCTGAATAAAGTAACTCATGAATATAAGGAAGTCAGTGTTGGTGTGACAGAGAGACAAGAGTTGTTGAATGATATTACTGCTAAGGTAGAAAATATAAAGCAGAGAACTGAATCCAGAGGTTCATCCATGAATGACAACTCTCCTTTAGTTACCGCAAAGAAAGCTGTGGCGAATTTGAAGAAGGATATCCAGGAGATGGATTTCCAGATAGTAGTGTTACTTTGGATGTTGACAACGAAAGAGAAACCTAACAGTAATAACATTATTGCAAACGCTGAGTCAAGAATGGTTACTAACGAAGTATATTAATTAACATAATATAGGGGTTCTGCAAGGAACAGTTTTAAGTCCAGTGAGTAATATTGTTGTAAGAATTGTATGAAATAAAAGTTGATCAATTGATTTCAATATTTTATTACTGTGGCCTTTAGGAATACAGATATTAAAAATAGGTTGCTAGCTCAATAGTATTATGCATGTTTAAAGTTATCTTATTTCTTAATCTAAACAAAATAACGAGTACACAATAATAATGAAAAAATAAATCTACGATCATAAAAAATATAAAATAATAACTTTAATCATTTCCATCTTTTCTTTGGTCTACGTTTTGATTAATTTTATCTATAAATACTTTATTATGTTTCGATGCATTTTTATAACTAAGACACATTGTTTGAAGATATTCAAAGCTGAATACATATGTTTATTATTTAAATTAGATACAATTTGTGCTTTACAGTGCCACGTTATATTCTTAAAAACAATATCACTCATTCTGTATATTCCTACTGATATATGCGCACTGGTTTTACCCATTAAGTACAATCCGATCGAGCTAACTGCGCACCTCGCTTTAATGCGACTCTCCCTCCACTTACCCATACAACTCCCCGCGTTCGCCCCGTCCGTACAGGTCCGTACCAGCACGGTAATACTATCTATACAGTATTCCAACTCGGCCATATTTTTGAAATAAATGTCAACAGTCGCGCGGTACGTCACAGTATGACAACATGCGATAGGGCTGCCCACCTACAGTACCCAGTTTAATTACATCTGCCCACTTAGAATTTCTATCTAGTTTTGTGATTGTATTTTTTTTATTTAGTTAGACAAACAAAATACTTTGTGAATGGAATAGATTAAAAATGTGTGTTGTTTTGTGATTAGTAGATTTAATTTATTTAAAACTACTTAAATAATTTTGAAACTTTAATAATCATAATGATCTGTTACGTTAATTTCGGGCGAGCGAAGTCGTGGGCAAAAGCTTGTTTAATATAATTTACATTTCAAATCAAACTGACTGAAAATGACAATTTGACTAGTTTTTGACCAATTTGACCGTAAATGACGGTCAGTCAAATTCAATCAGTTTTGTCATTTTTAACGCTTGGCCACCGACGTCCATTCGGCACATTCGCGACACCCCCGACTATTGCATACCGAGATTTGAATTTCGAAAGAAAGTTCTTGTTTCGTCTGTTTATATGAAGTTACAATACTGTATGATATTATTACCGTGGTACCAGGGCGTCGATGTGACGTCACGGCTCCCAGGTGCGTAGTTAACTCGACCGGGTTGTAAAACTACTTTTTGGTTACAGTGCTCTCACAGCCAACTCTCAAATAACAAAAATACTTCACAAACTTCTAAAATGATAGAAAAGCTTCATTCCCGACCATTTAGTTGAAAGTATACTATTCTGCTGATATCGATAACTTTTTCTCTCTCACACACAAAGGACGTGAAAGAGAGACGAAAGTTCAATCAAAAAGACGTGTTAGTGATTAGGATTTCTATCCTTCTATTCATCCTTAATGTCAGTGATATAAGTGCTACTTTTTGTACGAACTTTGTATGAAACTCAATACTGCTACGCACACTTATCTGCAACGTAACGTAAACGCCTCGCGATTGACAGCGCGCGAAAGGCGATACGGTGTTGATCCCTTTCCGAGTTGATAAGTCTGCTATGAGCTATAATGTATTTTGTTTTTGTTTTTCAGTATAGGTCGAAAATTGTTTATCACATGATTTCATACTGATATTATTATTGTACACCGTATTGAGTTTTACCTGTTCATTGTATGGAATGTTATGATGACGCAATAGAGGTCTAAGTATTTTTTAAACAAAGTCAAAATTGTGAGATTAGCAGATATCAATATAAATCCAATTAACTCATATGTATAATTAATTATTTTCTGTTAACAATCGCGTAATTTTATGCTCACTCTATTATTTTTATACAAATATGTACATATAAAATAACATGGCAAGATTTATAATGTTGTAAACTAGAGTAGAGTGATGTTTTAACATAATAGTAATCAAAAATAATACAATAACGTCACGAGAGTTAAACGAATCTATCTTGCATGTCTAAATAATATAAGCAAAAGTGAAAAGTTTACAAAAATATTACTGTGAACCAGTTCATTATTGCTATTTAACAGAACGTACTTAAATTATTTTTGCGTTTCTTAAATATAACATCATTGGGGTAATTTTCAACTAGCTTTTTCAATTCCTACCTACTTTTCTTTTATAATAATAATCAGGGCAGCTTTGTGGCGAGCTGTTGGTGAGTAGCGACACCACGGGGCCAGTTGTTAATCCGAGTGCTCCCGAGAGTCGGTCAAGACCCTCGTCTTCGGCTTGCCGAAGTGGAATCCGAGAGGGTCTGCAGGACTTTCACCTCTGGCTTGCCTTAACCGGCCGGCCAGAGTGGAGTCGCTAGAGCTATATGCTCCAGGGGTGGAAGTGTTAAAGGGCATAACGCCGCGAGTAACTTCGGAGAAAGCGCAGCACACCTCTCTACACCCCTGAGCTGGCAGACGCCAATGTTGCCCCTCAGTCCGGTCTATACGACCCATGACGCCAGGGGGGGCCCATTTAGTCGCTGGCTAGTCACCGCCTGCCATTTTTTCAGTCCGAGACTATGAACCAGGCAGGTGTCCCGTAGTCTCCATCCATAGCCCAGTAACCAGTCCATCCATCCTTCATCCATAACCCTAGTCCATTCTCCAATAACTGCAATAGCTCCTGTGCACAGGCTGGAGATGGTCTCTGGCTACATCCCATGATATAGTCAGAGACTAGATCCAGCATGTGCACCACTTTCACTTTTGTCGATTATTTTGCGCTTAAAACGGCCTCTACGTGTTGGATCTGTATCCCCACGCAAGCCTTATAAAGGACCGGGCCACTTTTGACCCGTGAGCTCCAAAGCGTACAAACATAATAATTGATATAACAATTTATTGATATAAATCAGTTACAACCATCATTGAGTTATTGAGTATACTTACTTTATCCTAACTTTGCATCTTTCTAGTTAATGCGAGTACAAAATTATATACCTTCTTAGCCTATCCTCTTTTAAATAACATAAAAAAGGTCTTTGATATTTTTTTTTAATTTAATAAGAGACAAGCGACTAAAAAAATAATTAAAAGAGAAAAAGCAATAAGATTTCAAATTCACTTGCACTTTGTAACTATTTTTATATGAAGTACGTCGACGCATTTCATGTAACTATAGTTTGGTCTGTGAGCACGTAGAATTTTGTCCAATGACCCCAAGCTACCCATCCTTATCGCTCGCGCGTAATTATATTGCTGTCGCGACTGTGCGACGGGCGCCCGCAGTGAGTGTGCAAGCGCGACAGCAACATAATTACGCGCGTGCGATAAGGATGGGTAGCTTGGGGTCATTGGACAAAATTCTACGTGCTCACAGACCAGGCTTTATAATTAATTATAGATCGTTTCATCCACGAAGACGCGCCCCACCATTCTTCCGCTAATGTTTGAGTGTTATCGGTACACACTAAATTATCAATGAGTGCACTACAATAATGACGCTCGGATTGCTCGGATCAAACTACCCGCACCCCGCGCTTACCTCGACCAAAAATTGATAGAGCGCGTCTTCGTGGATAAAACGATCTATACATGAATCAACGCTAACTAAGGTAGATAAAAATCTTTCGAAAACTAGTCTTTCCATAAACAAGTACCCAAACACTCATTGGTGGTTATAAATTGGCAACATCACATTTTTTATTAGACTTCTTTATAGCTAATCTAGATCCCTTACTTGGTTCAGAAGTAGGCTTTTGGCTTGTCCTAAATATAGAGAGTCCTGTTTCGATGGCTCCTCAAATGTCACGTTGTATTTTCTCTTGAGGTCGTCCATGAATTCTTGTTTTAGAAGCGCGAGGCATCTGGAAATTGAAACATTGGTTCAATGTTATTTGATTTATGATTGGAGTGATGAGACGATTTCTAGAGAAGGTAAGAAGATGTTCACATACTCAAGAATGTTCCCATACGTTTTGTGTGAGGGTTGTACGACATTTGAATGCCAACGTTTGCCTGGGCCTATCGCTATCTCATACTTTCGAAATGCGAACATAGCCGTAACGTATACAAATATGTAGCATTTCCTATTTTGATCACAAGCTCAACTAAGCACGATTATTTCAGATATAGTAGGTGCGGTGCTTCTCTAGAAAATTTTTACTACAGACACTGGGAGGACAAAGGGGTGTAGTTGCATCCCCCAATCGGGATCCTAGCAATTAAGTCACCAATTTCATCTTTGAACGAGTTGCGTTATCAGCATTTCTGGAGTGGAAGCCATGTACCGGAAAACGCAGCGTGGGACGTCCACTCACGAGGTGGACCGACGACCTGATAAAGATAGCAGGAAGGCGCTGGATGCAGGCCGCTATCAACCGGGCGATGTGGTAATCATTGGAGGCCTATGTTCAGTAATGGATGTCCTGTGGCTGAAATGACTATGCGTTCTTTCTTTTGATTATTTTTTGTCATGTACTTACATCCGATAGTGTGGATTAGCTCTGAAAGCAGTGATGTCGGGCGACGGCGCGTGCGGCGTGTGGACTACAAATGCCCCCGGGAGAACCACAGGCCGGTAGCCTTGAGCGCGCAACTCCACGCTGTGGGATACCTGTGGGATAATGCAGTTAACTGTAAGTAAAACTGCTTCAACCTTTGACCTGGGGGTGGCTGAAGACCTAAAAATGATGAGTTAATGAAATAAGGGGCCGTTCAAGTATTACGTAAGCAGATTTCTTACCATTTTTTACCCCCCCGCCCCCCTTGTCATCAAAAGTAAGCAAAGCACTTACCCCCTCCCCCTATGCTTACGTAAACATTTTGTTATAAATGTTTTTTATATGTATTGTCATTTTTAAAACAGGAAAATTCATGAAAATATTAGGTTTAACTGATACACATAGAGTAGGAACAAAAAAATATAATCAGAAACAAGAACTATTATGCAATTATGTTTGTTAAACATAATTGCATCAATTATGCATCAACATAAACACAAATGATAACTTTCAATGCTCACAATACTTTAGTATCCAAACAAAACACGCGCGCGGGAGGCCGGCCTCGCGTATAATAATATTTTATGCAGACTACGACTCTCAAATTTCAATGGGCAATGTCGGCACGAGAGTTAATTATTAGACAAGTGAATAGCGCACGGTAATTTCCCTAATGTGCGGTAATTCCCCTAATCAGTTCTCAAAGCGAGTGCCTACGCATATGTATTATTTGCGGGAATCCCCGAAAAAACGTAAATAACTAACGATGACGTAATCATCATCTAGACCCCCCTACCCCCCCAAGTCATCAAAATAAGCAAAACAGAGACCCCCCCACCCCCCCTTGGTGCTTACGTAATACTTGAACGGCCCCTAAGACAAAAATATAACTGTGTAAAGACGCTAATCGTGAAGTGGGTGACATCTGTGATATAGATAGAAATGAAGTACTCAAGCAGATTAACGTCCGTATTCACAAGCATTACTACGAGGTCTCACAGTGCGCGTGGACGCACAGGGTGACACACGACGAGCTCTATTCAACGCTGTGAGTTTGTTTTGCTGCTTCACTTAAGCAAGCATCGTTTGTGAATACGAACGAAAGTCTGAATACCGTGAGCTAATTCAGTATACATTGCTATGAACATTACCTTATTCCATCCGAAGCCGGAGAAGCGGGTGTCGTACTTGGGAACTGAACGGTGGACCACTAGATACGGCTCGTAATCTGACTGCCACTCCACCTGTAATTAAGACTTCAATGATCAACTTTAATAGAAAGGCGAGGCCTTATAGTTTAGACACCGAGGAGCGATAATACTGCTTGCAGACATACTAACATCATAAAGCAGTAGCTACGAACCACCTCGAGTAGTTAATGGCTAAATGGCCCCTGGGCCACTCTCAGCCCCTGAACGGAGCCACTTCAATACCATGAGTAACGAACGCGCAAAAACACTGAATATGGTGCAGTGGCTATGGACCACCTCGAGTAGTTAGTGGCCCGATGGCCCCTGGGCCACTCGCGGGCCCTGAAGGGGGCCACGTCTCCGGTGCCGTGTATGACGATTCATACAAGTAACGCAGCAGGCTTGTTGCTCGGACGTGCGGCAAAAACTCACCTCATATGGAGCAGTGGCTATAGACCACCTCGAGTAGTTAGTGGCCCGATGGCCCCTGGGCCACTCGCGGACCCTGAAAGGGACCACGTCCCCGCTGCCTAATGCCTATAAATACTGCATTTAGATTAACTCACCTCGTAAGGAGCAGTGGCTACGGACCACCTCGAGTAGTTAGTGGCCCGATGGCCCCTGGGCCACTAGCGGCCCCTGAAGGGGGCCACGTCCCCGCTGCCTAATGCCTGTAAATACTGCATTTAGATTAACTCACCTCGTAAGGAGCAGTGGCTATGGACCACCTCGAGTAGTTAGTGGCCCGATGGCCCCTGGGCCACTCGCGGGCCCTGAATGGGGCCACGTCTCCGGTCCCGTGGGTCCCAATCCGCGCGAGCAAGGCTGGCTTGTTACACGGATGTATCACACTCACCTCATATGGTGCAGTGGCTATGGACCACCTCGAGTAGTTAGTGGCCCGATGGCCCCTGGGCCACTCGCGGGCCCTGAAGGGGGCCACGTCCCCGCTGCCTAATGCCTATAAATACTGCATTTAGATTAACTCACCTCGTAAGGAGCAGTGGCTACGGACCACCTCGAGTAGTTAGTGGCCCGATGGCCCCTGGGCCACTCGCGGGCCCTGAAGGGGGCCACGTCCCCGCTGCCTAATGCCTGTAAATACTGCATTTAGAATAACTCACCTCGTAAGGAGCAGTGGCTATGGACCACCTCGAGTAGTTAGTGGCCCGATGGCCCCTGGGCCACTCGCGGGCCCTGAATGGGGCCACGTCTCCGGTCCCATGGGTCCCGATCCGCGCGAGCAAGGCAGGCTTGTTGCGTGGCGGCGACGCGCGGTAACGCTGCGTTTCGAACGCGGGGACTACTAAGCACTATAAAAATAATTAAAGATCAATAAATAACTCGATAAAAATTGGGTGATTTATATTCAGTTAAAATTCTGTCGGTTGAACTATGATTAAAAATTGGCCAATATCAAAATGTCTGTTAATTGAGATCAGATAAAATATTCAAGAACGTATAGTGTAGCTGAGGTGCACGTGCATGAAGGTAAAAAACGCTAAAAATCGTGACAGAACTTTTTTAGGTTTTATTATCGTAAGTCTAAAATGTTCTAGGCTAATACATTTTTATGATGATATTATTTATTTATCACAAAAATATAACATTGATAAGCATTGAAATAAAACTTGTCTACATTCACGGTGGTAAGAATCCTTTGAACATTTCACACGTTATAATCAAGAGCCTGTACCTAAGAGGTTTATGAAAAAACTAAACTTCTATCGTTTTAAGGCTTACCTTCTTCTGCGGGTAGGGGTTGATAAGTTTGGTCGCGGAGCGCAGGTGTTCATACAGCCCCGCCATTGGCACGAAATCGACATCCATTAGGAAAACGTATGGCGTGTTCACGTTCTCCAAAGCTACGTTACGTAGGTAGTTCACTGGGTAGTGCACCTGTAATAATAGTTGAAAGTCTTCAGATACAACACAACAAACATTATTAACAGATAAGTTCTTAATAAGCTATAACTGGCTCTTATTTTTAGTCGCAGACCACCGACTTTCAGTTGGCCGATAGTTGGCCCCGATTCTAATTTGTATGAAGAATCGTCCGATACCAAATCGGTGTAATGTGTGCACGTTCATACATCTCCATACTGATTAAAAGCCCGACTCAATTATCGGCCCACTAAAGTTGGTGGTCTGCGCCTAGGCTTAATGTACATTTTGAAAAATAGGTAAGCTCCATTTTTTCAAATAATAATAAATAAATTCTATGTATCAAAATTTTAAACGTAAGAAAAAAGAAAAGCACATCTTTGTATGTAGACTGCAGTCAATAGTTTCTCAAAATGCTCTGTAACTTTTGTTCAACCCAAAGGTTAACTAGACGAGAATGCCAAAGATAATAAATTAGCTTTATGTATCCAGGGGTGGCCAACCGGTCGATCGCGTTCGCGATTAGTAGTCCAGTCGATCGTGGCAAGGCAAAAAATACTACATGATTGTGTACTAAACTATGCTGTTTCATTTAAGATTTCAAGAAGTATGTAGGTGATAGATCGCCCAGGGTTTCGTTAGTAAACAGTAGATCTTATGTCTAATCAAGTTGGCCACCCCTGATGTATACAGTCGATAGCAAATCAGACAGTCTGAAGTGATTGATTCTGATTCAGACTATACATTTTTGTTGCAATCTAGCACCTATTACAAACTACATAAGATGCTGCATTGCTTACCTCCATGAGCTGTCGTATGTATGTACCATTAATGTTGTGAAAACTTACATAAAAACTTAAATAAAGATTTTAAAGATAAAATACACACACTTGCATTTATTTCATTTATTCGGTATTTATTATTATTATTCAACTTAAGGAGTTAATTTTAACTAGTTTTTGACTTACCGAGTCGTGTTTAAAAACGAGATGGTACCCGATATTGCGCCTCGCACTAAGCGTGTCAGACCAGTCGCGTATGAAACTTTCCAGTTTCGCCACCTCGCAGTCTGACAGATAGATGGCAGCACTCAATGGGCCTGAAAATACATTAAGGGACTAGGAGGCGTATTTGTAAGGCACTAGAACTCAAAATTACATACTTTATTTTAACGTCAGTTATTAGTGTACACTAATTAGAATTTCATTCTTCAAAACCGTCTTCTGGTTAATTTATTAGTATGTAAGCTAATAAAATGAAACAAGGAGGTTATTAAGTAAGAGTTAGTGCTACCAATATGCTACATACCATTATTTTAATTAATAAATAGGTAATTAGTAGCTAGCTAATTTAAAAATATATTACTGGATTTTTACTGCCTATTGGTTTTTCCTGGTTGATCCATGATCCTTTTCTCAGGATTCTTAATCTTTAATACTAGTTCTTTTTTGCCTAGTTAGGAAAGTGAAAATAATAATCAATTCATGCACAATTTTTATACAGAGCTTGGTAACACCATAATTTAATTATTACCTTCCCAATGCTTGACTAGCCTTTCGAGGAACTGCAATCGATCCATGGACAACTGTAGAACGAGGGTGACGTCAAAATTGTCTATGTCTGTGTAGCTGTAGTCCATGTAGTACAAATGGGTGCGCAGTTTAACCCTCTGTGCGGCGCGGAAACTTATGCATAGGTCGGAATGATTCATCTGTAATATAAGCAATTAAGTATATTATAACTATGTCGTCTTATCTCAGAAACTATAACACCTACAAACTTGAAATTTGGCAGGTAGGTTCATTATAGGTTTTAGACATGCGCTAAGAACGGGTTTTACGAAACTCATCCCCTAAAAGAGAGTAAACGGGGTTCAAGCGTACGAAAATCAAATCGGTCGGTCAAAAGAGAGATGCAGGCTATGGCGCAAGAGAGCTGATCTCCCCTGCCCTTTTGTCCCTATGTCTGAGAGTCCTCCACCTGGACATGAGCTCCCCTGGCTTACGTGGAAGTCTTTAAATAGACTTCGGACGCAGGTTGGCCGTAGTAAGGACAATCTGGTCAAGTGGGGATTCTTGGATGGCTTAAACATGGAGTGCAGGTGTGGTTTTGTTCCTCAGTTGATGAAGCACCTGATGTCATGCCCTGAGTGCCCAAGCAACTGCACTCAGGAGGATTTGATGAGTGCTACTGACAACGCCACTCTTGTGGCGGAGTTTTGGGCTGACACTGTGTAGGTTTGTTGTCGACACGAAAACAAGAAGAAGAAGCGTACGAAGTCGCGGGCGGCCGCTATTAGTAGTATCTAGGATCATTTTTCAGAGATTTACACATTTTAAAAACAAATGCTTCAATAATTTCAATTTTGAAAGTTATTAATATTTTATAACTTACCTTATAAGTAACTACTTCTGTCTGCCCACATTTATGTAGCTTCTCCCTCAATAGGTTTCCATCAAAATTCACATACGACTGGTGTATATTTCTAAAATAATCTGCATCTCTAATCCTAATATTGTATTTGCCAGGCGAATTCCAATGTATCACCTGAAAAATATTCACAAATCACTGATAAATTAGCACATCTTTGATGTATCTTATGGTACAGACAACAGCACATCAAGCAAAACACAGTGGCGTCTTATCTCGTCGTAATACAGGCTACTTTGCATCGAAAATGTACAACTTGATGTGCTGTCGACTGTACATAACAGAAAATTATAGTAATTTACCTTGACATTATTAGTGTCTTCTCCGTAACAATTCTTCGCTAAAGTCTTCGTAGACATTTGGACATTATACTGACAGCTAATATTGTACACATATCTCGGATATTTCTTCAGTATCGCGTTAATAACGTCCTGATCAGCTAGGGTGGTTTGTCTCAGGGTGTCCAGGTTTTCGTTCACCGCATCATGCCATAGGGTGGTCCAGTCAGTGTTTCTTCGGATCTTTTCAAGGTCTAGTAACATCACTCCGGTGTTGTAGCCGCGGCCTAAAGCCGGCCATCGTTTTGAGGTCGCATAGTACCAGTCGCTTTCGTTTTCGACTAGGCCTATGATCTGAAAGGAGTATCACAGATAATGCTTTAACTGTCTGTCATGTATTAAGTCGCAAGTCTATTGAAAGATAATTTTGAGATGCATCTTGAGAGAAGCACACAATATGCCTCTTACTCTGTTAAAAAATAATTTATTTTACCTGTTCATCAGTCATATTTCTAAACATCGTCCACAGTTCAGCAACATCACACAGGAACGTTAAATCTGAGTCCAGTACGATGACTTGTTTCAACGTATCGGGCAGTATGTCAGGGAATAGCAGCTTGACCAGAGCGTAGATGCCTGAGTAATGACTGTTTGGTATCCATCTCACTTGCATCAGACGGTTTTGAGCATTGTAACAAGTGTATTTTACTAGAAAGAAGAATTTCATAATTAAATTCAGAAAACAAAATGGACAAACACCTAGACTAGATGTTAGTAGACAAAATTAAAAGCTTTCATGTTTTTCATTAATATGGTAGGTATGTTATAATAATTTCATTAAATCAATATTTACTTACCATCAGGCAAGTCCCATGTGTCAAAGAGAACATTTGTTATTTGCTGTGAAGTTCCGTCCACAATGAAGTGGAAATGTATGGGATTCTGACGGTGGTGAAGTAGAGACTTGAGCATTGGTGTGATGAGTCTCATACACTTCCCCATGCACACTAATGCAATGTGCACTGTTTCACAAATTGTGCCATATGCATCAGGAATCTAAAATACAAAGGATCTAGATTACAACTATACGATTAATAAATTACAAAGAATTTTTTTATTTGTAAAGCTTGTACATATTTTAATTTTTACCCTTTTTTATTTAGTTATAGTTTAGTTGAGTAGTTATTTGTTAATATTTAGTTGTTGTATATAGAATATTGTTACATTTAATAAATTACTACAAAACAAGCTTTAATTAAACTACTTTATTTCTGCAGTGAAAAGCTAGAACTCTCAGAAATAAAAATGCTAGAACTGAGTTTGTGCCACAATATTTCTAGAAGTGAATATTTCTTTTTTAAATACAACAGGAATACAAGCAGTAACTGTTTTTTCCTTCCTGATTATATTTAATAACACATTTCACTATTGAAAAATATACTCACAACAGGAACTTTGTAAGTAGTTACAGAATCAACGGACATTTGCCTCATGACAGACTGTGACAGCTGGAGTTGCGTCTTGAACACCCTGTTCTGTGTCTCCAAGACGCTGATCCTGGATATCAGCCACCAGTAGTACACCACTGAGATGGCCACCCAAATCCCCAGCGGAACCCCTAGCCAGGGTCGAAGAAAAAGACATGACAACACATTTTTGGTTTTAAAATTCATATTAGCTGATCACGCATAGTTGTCATAATTATTTGGCTTTTATCTGCATGCAAGGATTCTGAAATAATAAGAGTAAAAATGAATTCTTAATTTAATAAATACCTTGGGAAGAAATGTTAGTATTCAATTAAAATTGTGTTTTTATCAAAACAAGATAAACACGCAATATGTTCATAATTTAAAAAGACATTAGATAAATGATAAAATTGTTCATATTATATTTAAAGAAGTAAAAGTAAAGATAAATACTGAAAAAGAATTTAATAAAAAAATTAACACTTGTTATCACATCACAAGGCTTTCACAGACTGTACTTGCACATGACACGCAAATTTATTTAATTTAAAGTAAGTCTATAGGTGCAAAGTTTTAAATTACCTTAATAAAATACAACTATTTAATTTAAATTAAAAATGAAATTTCAGAGAAACAAACATAAAACTTTGGTGCATTAACAAACTGTCAAAGTCAGTGTTGCCAGTCGGGTCTAGTCAGAAATTACCAGAAATATAAAAAAAAGTAACCTTTTTGAACAAAAAGTAACCTTTATACGGGGGGGTGATAATTGTGTAAAAGGTTGTTCATGGATGGAAAATGAATACAATTGATCATCTAAATACGAAAAGTGACCAGTCGTATAAAAACGTTTCATGGATTTGCGTTTTATTATCGAAAAACATTCGCTAAAACTAATTTTTCTTAACAAATAATAAATAAAATTCAAGTTTAAATGCACTTTATGACATAATTTTTAAATTGTCACTATTAATATTTTTTACTGAATAACCTGCAAAGTTAATTCTACAATTTCTGAAAAATCACCTAAAAGTAACCTTTTCATTAGTGTAACCTAAAAGTAACCACAGCAGTTCAAAAGTAACCAAAAAGGTTACAAAAGTAACCTTCTGGCAACACTGGTCAAAGTGACAGTTGACATTTTTATTTTTAAACGTTTCTATTTTTGCAAGTTAAAATTATGAAATGACTTCATACAGCCACAGGAGGCTGTATGAAGTCATTTCATAATTTTAGTAATTAGTAATTTTAGTCAGCCTTGTTTTTTTGAAAAAAGGGGTCTATAAAATTATTTTACTCTTTTCCTTTTCTCCTTCCAGTTCCTTCCTTCCACCACGTCCTGGGAGTAGGTAATTTAGAATGTAAAAAACACGTCCAAGCAAAGATCGTGTTTTGAAAACCATAATAATTAAATAGGTTCGTTAAAATTAACTGCATGGGTATAAAGTACGTACACTTTTAATGAAATTATGCTTATGTATCTGTCGCAGTCGGATTGTATAATCCGCCGTTTTACATTACCACTAGGCATTTTACATTACAGCTCTGTTTTGTAATACGGCGGTTCAACGTTTAGGCGGATTGAATACGGCTGAATGAAAATCCGCCGGAATGTATTCGGCGCCAAACGTTCTTCAATACGGCTAGCCGTAATGTAAAACAGCGTGTCATTACCCGCCGCTTTGACAGTTTTTAGTTCCCATTTTCAATACCGTGGCGCTGCCTGACATAACAACAACAATGGCGTCGGATGCAGAAAATGTGTTGCTAAATTACGGTGTTATTTCTGAATCTAATAAAGAAAACGTTATAAATATGTGTGTCGACAGTGAGTTTAAGAACAATTTTAACTTGCAATTGAAGAATTTCTATTCTTCACAATGTGGAACAGTCAGAAAACCGTGGACAAGGGACCGAGTTTTGAGAGGTTATAGCCCACATCAAAACCGCTAAAGTGGCTATGGATTCTGGTGTTCGGCGGAATCCTACTCAATATTATTGGTGCAAAAAGTATGATATTATGACAGTGGCCGGGAGGTTATAGCCCACATCAAAACCGCTAAAGTGGCTATGGATTCTGGTGTTCGGCGGAATCCTACTCAATATTATTGGTGCAAAAAGTATGATATTATGACAGTGGCCGGTGAAGATTTTGAGATATCTTTTATTTTAAGATGTGTGTACCTTGTGATTACTCATTATGTTTAAAAATGACTAAATCCAAATATTTTATTATATTATTAACTTTCGAAAAAAGTCTATTTGTTTTGAGATGGCTGTCCTTGTGATTTATAATAAACATACAAAAAAATTACTGAAGCCAAATATATAATTTAGTATTAACTACTTACAGTAACGAAGATAATCATTCTTACTTAATCACTAAAGAATATCGTGAGAAGAAATATTTCTTATTAAAATTTATTTTCATTAAACATTGTTTTATTTTGTAAGTATGGTCACCCTACAATCTAAATAGTAGTACGATGCGGCTAAACGTGGGCCGCCGTATTGAAGAACGTATCGCAATGACAATCCGCCTAAACGTTGAACCGCCGTATTACAAAACAGAGCTGTAATGTAAAATGCCTAGTGGTAATGTAAAACGGCGGATTATACAATCCGACTGCGACATATCTAATCAATTTGTCTCCAATCAATGAAACACCTACCTTAGCGAAAATCCATTGTTCATAGGCATAGGTATCTTGAAGTAATTAGAAATGCGATAGTATTTATAATTGCTTTAATTGGGCGTTGTTAAAGCTATGCTTTAATTTGACAAAGTTTTATTTCAGATAGTTTCTTGGCAGCTAAGTAAAGATTTAACAATTTAGCTATGTGATGTCATGTAGGTCGTAGGATATTGCTTGAATAGATTTTAAATTAAACTTAGTACCTAATTACATTATAAAGTTTTTATCACGCTATTTATTGCTATAAGTTAAAGGCACAACAAAAAAACTAACAAACGTATTTTAAATCTTTATTAGCTCAAAACCTTAATAATAAGAAGACAAAGTAACAAAAGTAGTAAAATACGTTGGTAAGATAAATAAGTAATGGCACTTAATATTATAAATACGTAATCTGTCTGTACAAAATCATAGAAATTATTCGGATTTCATTTGTCATGATTAGTGAATTTTTAAAAGATACAAATAATCGAATACATTGACGTCAAAAGGGGCAAAAATCTAAAGCTCAGCAGGCCGTCTTACAATAACTTAAATTAGGTATTGTCTTATCGGTAAGAATTCTATAAAAAATTACAAAGTATACAATCATCTCATTCAGATATTAGTCTTCGAATGACTCTTACTGTTGTCATAGTGATCGTAAGTGGGCTAACTTATCTCATAGGCTATGAAATTAAAGAAAATATATGAGGAAAATGTCCTCATTTTAGTAGAGCAGCTTACACATCCGTCAATTCGTAAACTTCGCGATTCTAAGTTATATTTATGGAAAATAATAGATATAAATTTTTTACCACTAACAAATTAAAATAAAATTCCGAAAAAATATTAATTCAAAATCACTTATAAGTAATATTAAATTAGTAAGACTCAAAAGAATGTCAAAATGCTTCAATACATTTGTAATGTAAAATTTTGTACTATTTTCTTGTGCGCTTATGTTACTCACATGATAATTATGTACCTACTTAATATGTGGTCTTTATTTTATTTACTAAACATTATTTTGTAAATTATAAACATTATTTGAATCTTTCAGTGGGCTAATCAATCACTGCATCATCATGCATGCAGTGCTTCTAAAACTATTCTAATTTATTTCCGTCTCTCCCTGCCACTGCCTTGCCTGATTCTGATTCAGGGGTTGTCTCTGCCCATCTGCCCACTGTTGGTCCTCTGGTTGAGGAGGTGGAGGGGGCAAGCCATCCCACTGCTGGTCAGACTGACCCGGGAGAGCTTGGTCTTGGCCGTCCCACTGCCGAGTTTGTTGGGCTAAGGGCGTACTAGACTGTGGCTGGTCATATTGGTAAGGATAGGTGGTGCTGTTGTCAGTGACTTGCACCGGTTCGGTGGGCTCAGGGCTGTCTTCAGGCAGGTCCTTCTTGTAAGGAATGCTCTCATCATCAGAGTTAATCTTCACCGACTCGTCCGGGTCGAGTGGTCGGCTCCTGAAAAAGTAATAGGATGTAATTAGATGCCGCTTCTAATAGGATTCCCTATTCTTGCCTGCAACAGAGGAGGAGAAGATAGTTTTGGGGCTCCATACCCAAAGGGTCGCCAGGGGGTTCCTATTAATATGTAAGTATTATTGCTGAAAGTACACACATACCGACAAAGAAGAAACTTGTCAAGTGTTCACTTTGATGCGGCTTGGCCAATTTCCCGCATAGTTCTTCCAGTATATCGGTATGTCAACCAGTTATATCCCATGAACCTTAATATACCTTAGGCACTCTGATCGACTGATAGATAGGTATGAGGTACGGCTTAATTAGGTCCTTTTCGATCCTGAATTGTCCTGAATCCTGTGGGCAGGCCTCCCACTAGGTGGACCGACGATCTGGTGAAGGTCGCGGGAAGTACCTGGATGCAAGCGGCGCAGGACCGGTCTTTGTGGAAATCCTTGGGGGAGGCCTTTGTCCAGCAGTGGACGTCTTTCGGCTGAAACGAACGAACGAACGAACGAACGATCCTGAATTGTCATAATTAACTTGACATGAAGACAGTACTCACTTGATGGTCATGAACTCATTGTCATCTTCGCTCTCGTCCTGTTTCCTCTTCTTGAGGATGCGCCAGCCGATGCAGATGAACACGATGACGATGGGCACCATGATGGCGCTGATAATGCCCCATGTAGCGCCCAGGGTGCGGGCAGAGTACTCCTGGTTACCTGTTCAGATGATGGTCATTTTAAATGGGTTATTATTTATTAATCGGACCCGTTTTATCACTTGCTGGAAATATCTTTAATGCTCTAGGACTCTAGGATCTTCTGAGTTTGTCAGATAAATTCGAATTCTTGTTTTCCCTCTACGAATAATAGATCTATTTTTTAATAAACTGAGGAATATCAACAATATATTTTATAATTTTATGTATGATATGCAGATTATGCTATGTTACACCAAGTTACATTCAAATAGATATAAAAGGTAGGTAGACTTATCTAGTAACAAAATATAACGGAACCCTAGTAATGAATATGATGCGTTTATCATGAATTTATCTCTAATCTATGAAACAAAGCAAATAAAAAAATACAACACTCACCTCTTTATGTGACCTAAATTCTATTGTGTACGTAAGATAAGAAAGCAAGCAATAACCTCCGTTCAGATTAGGTAATAAAACTCATCACGCGACCGAGAAAATTTCTATTCCACAAATTGTGGGTATGAGGACTTTATTCCTTGCTTTCTTTATGGAAAAGTATCAAGAACATTTAAAAACGTGAATAGGGGGTCATTCTACCTTTGGGAACAGAAATTTCCTCTTACGGTGACATCACGTAAAGTTTTTATATTTTTAATCGAGAAATAAAACAATACATAAATTACAATTACACAAACAACAATGGGAAATACAAAAAAACTATAATCTAACTTCTAAATAATTATGTGCAAAAAATATAATTGTGCATCTAAAATCAATACTTATGTAATACTATAGATTGAGCCCCGCAAAACTCCCACGGCTTGTCATTTCAAGGGCAGTGATTATATTAAGTACAGTCTACGTTTTATTTACGGTGGTAACTGATCAGAACTACACAGTCCTAAGTAATAGAAACTATCTAGCTTCAAGGGCTAGGACTACACCATTGTAGAGCGACTGCTGAAGGTCGGCATTTCAGCAACTGGAGGATCTATTAAAGTCTCCACTGATTTTCCACGGACTGGAGGAAGAGTGAACGTTTTTATCTCGTCAGCAGGGGCACTCTTGGGGGCCTCTGGTAGACCCGGGTTATTGAATGTGCTCCTCGGACTGATATCAGAAGTCGGACTCACGGCAGGAGAGTAAATCTCAGAATAAGTTGGGGAGGGAATGGGACTGTAAGTGCCCCCATATTTGTTCCCATAGGGATCTTCAGAACCATCCTTTGTGGAATAGCCTGAGTCACTGGCAAGAGCATGACGCCCAGTCTGACGAGGTTTGCTCACGTATTCAATGTCTTTGGCCGGACGGGTCAAAGTAGAGTCACGATTAGACTCAGATTCGGATGGAGAGGTAAGCGAAAGCAGGTCCTCTTCAGAGAGATCCCAGAGCTTTTCAGGGAACTCTACATCAGGTAAATTTGGTAAGGGTTCGTTGGTTCGGTAAGTTTTATCGTAGCGACGTTTTTTCGGAATGGAAGACTTGTCTGATTTGCCGGAGTCGCTTTTACTAGAGTCGGCATACCCAAGCCCTGAGCTGTCCCCGTCCTGAGGTTCAGGGGGTAGCGGAGCGGACCGCATGCTTGGTTTCATGGGAGTTTCCTCCGTGGGAGTTTCGGGTAATTTGGGTTTGGTGTCTGTGTCTTGACTGCGTAAAGTGGAGGATTTCGCAGTGTCGGTTATATTTCCCATTGAAGCTGATCGAAGGTTGAGCCGTGAAGCGGACTTGGATCGCGGGTAGTCCTGGAAGCTGAATCCCTCCTTGCCCTCGGAGCGCGGCTTGTGCCAGCACCAGAACCACGAGAGGCAGAGCAAGAGGGCCAAAGGTAGAATGATTGCCACTATCACACCCCACGTCAGAAATAGGGCGCGCTGAGAGAATTCTTGGTTACCTGGATATCGAAACATGAATCTTAGCAACTAATATTTTTAATACACACACCAACCTATCACAAAAACTGTATTTACCAATGGATTTTAAAAAAATGCTTAAGTAAAGGTTGAAGAAGTTCTATTAAAACATTGTGTGGTAGGTTAGTGTTATGATGACTAGAAAGAAAGAACTTCTTACGCGCATTTCACTACTGATGATTTGATTTTATGCACATTTTGAAGTGAAAAAAAAAGATACTCCTAAGAAAATTATGTGGTACTTACGTAAGCACTCAGTGTACCCATAGTCGGGGAGGTTCCACCGGCCGTTGTCCTCGCACACCCTGCGCTTGTCTCCGACCAGAATGAAGTCCTGGTTACACTCGAAGTTCACCTAAATGACGGAAAAACCCTTATTAAACATAATTATTGGCAAATAATTTGAACAGGAAAATACTTGCAACTTTATGTGGATGACTTTATTGTGCTGTACTTAGGGGCTAAAATTATATAGGGAAGTTGCCATTGTTTTAAATACCGCAATAATTAAATTTAAAATAAAAATTACACCAAATTGCGTAATTTTGATAAAATTAAACTGATGTGGTTAATAAATGGAACTATTTTGTATTACCTTCTTTAAAACCAATATTGATAATGATAATGTTCGTTAACTTTGAATCTATGTATTATAAACCTAGATCTAACTTACCCGAGTACCAGGAGTGAAGAAGAAGTTACTCTTTCGCCCAAACCGAGGAGTTTCCAAAATGCCGCAACTGATCACTCTTCGTGCATTCGTTTCTTTTATATTCGTCTGTAAATGGCGTCAAGATTAGTGCTATTTCATTGGCATAAAATACACGATGAACCCGAGTTCAACATTCGCTATGGCTACCAAACTATGACTGAGTGCATCCATAAAAGGATGACTGTCCCATGCATTAAAGACCTTGGATGCATTATAATTACAAGAACAATAGAGACAAGACGCATCAGAGATGGCACGCGATTCAATGTGTAGGCAGGTTAAGTGGGTAACTTAATGTTTTGACGCTTAATAACTTTAATAGGTAAAGAATTTCATTGAGAATCTTATTTGGACATAAAATACATCTATGACGTTCGACAAACAAATGAAATGCAGGTTGTCTGGTTTTCCATTGTAGGCCTTGTATTGTAACCGTCGACTAATAACTTTAAACGTTTATGACACACTGCTATTTCCAGAGAATTATTCCTGAGTTATGTGTAGGTAGTTAGTTATAATTTACATTATAAAAATTCAACAGGAAAGACTCCATTGTTTCGTTTCAAATTGAATGTTGTGTGATTTATTTTTCTTAACTTATTTGCATTCATGGTTTACTGTAAAACAAATACCTTAAGAATCTAGAAAATATTCGTATAAATACTTACAATCGAAGACAGATAATTCTTCGTGAACTCCGCCATGTCCCTATTCAGGGTCATGCCGAAGTCGTATCGACACTGGTACGAGTCCTGGCAGATGTCTATTGCTCTTGCCACATCCTGCGACCGGTTGGTGGGCAAGAAGTCCGCCGGCTCTCGTATGAAGTTCGGTATGAAGGTGTTGTCGTTAAAGTATGCCGCAGTTCGACCGTATTCTCTTGTGAATAACGCTACGCCTATATTTCGTTGCTCCCGATCAGTTAGTTGCCCTAAAAAGGAAGATGCGTTAGAAAAAATACAGTCATTCCTTCAGTTCGTGAATGAAAGTAAAAAATAATTAACTAATTTCTTTAATTTCATTGCCCCACTGTTCTAGAGTTCAGGCCATGTATCGGATAGCGCAGCGTAGGACGTCCTCTCACAAGGTGGACGACCTAATAAAGGTAACATGAAGGCCTACGCAGGCCCGCTACTTTGTGGGAGGCCTATGTTCAGCAGTGGACGTCTTACGATTGTAATTATGATGAAGATGATGATTGCTTTAGTTACTTACAGTGTTGAGCGAAATCTCTGTGTGCCGATTGGAAGTTGTTGAGATCAATGGGTTGCACTATTCCGTCGGGGCGCGTGAAGTCATCGTTTACATCTAGCGACCAGTTACCGAATAAACCTCGAGTTTTGTTCTGAAAGTAGACAGTAAGATAGATATTGGTATTCATTACAATAGAGAAAATTGATTTTATGTCTATCCGGCTCTTTCTCTTTCTTCTCTCTTTCTTTCTCTTCTCTCTTACCGGGATATCATTTCCCAAAACTTACCATATACGTCCAGGGTAGATAAACCCTGGCAGTCATGAAGCCCTTGTTCTCTACAACCTCAACTCCAGCGCCTGATGCAAACATGATCACGATTTCTGACTGGTTGAGGATGTACATAGGCTGGTACACGGTCACACCTAAAATATAATTTCAGAATTTAGAGCATATTCGGAGAAGAATCAATCGAGCAAATGGATGTCAAATTGGTTACAGTTGCACTTATAACAGTAATATTACTTACCTGGGAAGTACTGAATCCTCAAAGCAGACCTGTCAAAGTAGACACGTTTATTATCAGCGAACACATCCAGTCTGTATCGCCATTGCGCATGCTGAGGCCGTAACCTGACCTGTTGATAGAATTGTTTGATTTAGTTTTCATCTAGAACAGAAGACGTGCCTATACATAAACTTGCCAAGTGATTTTGATACTTACTTCTATAGGAACAGAGTTGTTAGATGCAGCTACGATAGAAGTAAGATGGGTTGCATTGACTACGCCATGAATGTTTCTCGCGACCTGCTCGAATCTACCTTGCACGTCCAGTTTCAATTGAGGGTCGTCTGTCCTCACTAATACGTATTCACCTGGTAAAAACACATAACGGTAAGTTATTGATCAAGCTAATGCTCATATGAAATTGTTGCATGATTCCTGTACAATATTTGGTGCACACCTTTGCCGTTAAATGTGTACTGAAGGTCATCGAAAGTGACGATGTGAGGGTCTCCGAATATGCCTGCAACTCCTGGAGATTGGTATGCGACACAGTCTTGGGAAGGACGACGTTCGAATCTGTACAGAAAATGAAATCATCAAGACAATTCTGACATCGAAGGTATCATTGCATAAATGTTAAATGATAACAAACATACCTGAAGGTTTCACACCCAACAGCCTGTTCTTCTTGCCATGAACAACATTGGTAGAATGGAATCATATCGTGGAACCAATGGGACAGTGATGGTACCTGAAAATTTCGTAGTATTGAAAAATTAACACGTATAGTTCAAGGTTAGGGTACATCATGTTTATACAATAAGTAGATCAGAATTATAAGACCCCTACCTTGTTGGCTTCATTGTAAGGAGTAAATCCGAAGTCGTGTGACCTGTGAGGTCTAGATCCCCACATTTGATCGTATGAAAGCATGAGGAAGCCGTTCTTATCGTAGCAGCACTGTTGACCTGACCCTTCAGCACTGGAAAAAGTCATTAGATATACTCGGTATTTAAAAGGAATTTAATATGAAAATTATAGTTAATTTGAAATTATCGGCATAAGTTTTAACCTTGGCGCTCCACTCCTGACGCAATGTACACCTCCCCAGTGATATCTACAAGTTGGGTTGGTGTCTTTGTCACAATCAAGATCTGGTAGGAAACGACCTTTGTCCAGCAAAGCATGTTCCAGAGTACAGGGGCACACCCAGATTTGAGCAGCAAAGTTCTTGAGGAAACGATCGTTTCGGAGCCAGTTGTTGCACATGGTTTGAGGCCAGCGGGTTCCGTGGAGACGCTCCCATTGAGGGCCGAAGTACCAGGCTAGAGGGATTGGTCGACTCCAGAGAATTCTGCAATATTAATAAGACAATCTTGACTCAATTAACAAACTAATGAATTTGATATACCTAGGATGTAGCCTAAATTAAAATGGTCACTTACGGTGAAACTTGAACGCCTTTGTATATCTCAGGAGTTGTCAAATTGATTTGCAGAAAACCGAATTGCATGTCGTTGTGCATCAGATTATCCCTATTCCTGAAATTCTGTGGGTTGATAATGTACTCCCCAGTATTTGCCACACCCATTTCTATGATATCGATGAACTCCATTTGAGGTCTGATGGTGACTTCTTTGTAGCCCCATAAACTGATTTGAAGCTGGACGTTCAAGTTGGTCGTCAAATTGAAACGGTTCCATGTTATTTTGATTTCTGGTGGGTTCCTCTGGTGGATCGCGTTGTCAGGGAAGTAGATTCTTTCAGTTGCTGTTGCAGGGGTTTCTGTAATTTTAAGTTTTATGAGAATGGTGACAAGACGATAGTAATGAGAATTAGGTAGACTACGAATTTGACCTTAGAATAGTTAAACAAATATATCTTTCCTTACCTACAAAGAAGCGTCCCTTCCATTTGAAGGGCTCGTTGTTGATGGCGACTTCAAACCTGGCATAACCATTGTGGTAAAACCGAGGCTGTACGCAAATAGCTCGATTGACGTCCACGACGACACCCACCACGGCTTCAGTATCGAAACGGCAAGTGATTCGGTCGTTGGGGTTGAAACAAGGGCCGGTGATGTTCACCACAGTGCCTCCCAACATGTTACCACTTTCGGGGGCAAACATCAGAGGAAGGTTTGCGCCGTCTATAAGATAAAATAATGGTTAGATATCTTATTTGAAAGTTCCTACAAGTTATAGTGAATGCAGGTGAGATACTTACCAATGTCTTTGTTACAGGTTCCCATAAGTATATTTTCGTCTATTCTAAATATATGTCGACCAGGGAAACCATTAGCCCATCCTCTTCCAGTCAAATCACGGAGTACAGACTCTTGAGAGTATGGTTTGTATTCATAGCTTCGGGTGGCGTTACCGGCGTTGAAACCAATCTACAAGAAAAGAAAATAGATGGATTATCATCGAATTCTGTTATAGTCACAAGTAATCTTTGGGTAGAATAATAGTTTGTTATTTCTTACATAAGCCGGCACTCCTCCTTCACCTGTGGTGGTATCACCACCAGCTTCTGTGTGAGAACTCCAGTTGATTTCAAGATAGTTAAAGATCGCGTATGTGAACACTTCGTCTGTCGCCAGTACCATTTGGAACGTGTTAGTCTGCAAACAAACATTGGTTTATGAATTTTGTCTCATCAAAATGGTTAATTTTTGGTCATAGCTGCCATACCAGCAGTAACTGCTGAGTTAGGTAATAATGCTTACCACAAAGAGAGAGTTGTCAATTCCTCCAGCAAAAGACATGTTCTTCCAAGTTATCGTGATAGCATGTTTCGGGAAGAAGTTCTCAGCGCCAATGACACCTTCACGGATGTCCCAGGTGATGCGTTCGCGCATTTCTACGCCAAGCTGGTCTCTACGAGTCTACAGAAAACAATGCGTTAAATCAAAATGAATAGAGTTTATTATTGTGTGCACAAAAGAAAGAACTAAGAGCCAAAGCACACGATGCGTTAAAGCTGCGGTACGTCTTACATAGAAATATTTGTGGCAGGTACTCGAGCCAAGCGGTGCGGCAATTTATGGTGGAATCTTTGCCGTGCGGCGCCGCAACGCATGGTATGATGTGGCTCTAACACTCCATACATGCTATTTATCGTACCTGTAAGTCCCTGTCCAATCTGAAGTAAACGCCAGCTCTTCTCTGGTCAATGTCGGTGGGTCTGATGCTGCCGATACGGCACTTGCTGAAGAAGATACCGATGAAGGAAGGATCGTTGACTTTCGGCCAGTCCCGCATGGGGAAGGAGAGAGGGTAGGTGTAATGGTCTGGGGGATCGCTGAAGTAGATGTACCCATTCATGGAGAGCTGGAACAGAAAATGAATGATATAAAATGAAAGTGCAAAAATTAACATTTCCTAGGCAATTTTTTTATCAAGTTAGAATATGGCCTTCATTATTTACTGTTTAAGACTTTTTCACCATTAAAATGTATGATAGAAAATCCTTACCATATTATTTACCTACTCCATATTATTATTTTCAAACGATTACCTAGGTACTCTACCATTTCAAGCTACTCATTTTTAGTTAGTGACATAAAGCTGAGCCTGTTCTCGTGAAAATGTGACTTACCCTCGTATAATTGAATCTGAACCCAAAGAACGGCAGCTGAAAGTTGAAGTTCTTATGGATCTGCGGGGTAGAAGTGTGGATATCCCTCTGGTAGTCTCCGATGTTCTCGCTGCCGCCCTGGTCGTAGAACCAGTAGAGGAAGTTGGCCCTGATCTGCTGGAGACGCTGGGCGGTGATGATGTAAGCCTGCCCATTGTTCTGGTAGGTTATATCAGGGAGTATTCTTCCGTCGATGCGTGCTGAAAACCATTGGAAAGTTATTACAATTTACGTGTTTATTATACAATTATGATCTCTTGACTGTAAGAGACAGGTACAAAGATTTGTTACACTTGAAGCAGTCTGCGATCAGATCAAAGCGAATGCAGCCCGCATAGTGTAAGTAAGTATGATTACTTTGACCTGACCGCAGAGTACAGCAAATCGTACAGAGTACCTACGAGTAGGTAGACGAGTAAGTAACATGTTTTATTGCTCTTTTTACCTTTACTTATTTTAGTGTAACTCCATCTTTACGAGAATGAGGCATTGTTTTGTCTACGATATCATTATTAGGTTAATTTCTTCTTTTTCCTCTATATACCTATTAAATGAGTTGTTACAACTGAGGTTGCTATCCTGATGTCAGACATTAATGACCCAAGTAATGTTTCAAGTCTACGTAAATTAATATCTACCATGTTTTCTATTTTCTTTCGAGCCTACAAAGTGACCATAATTTTAATTTTGCAATACTAACAAACAAGTTGTAATCCTATTCAAATTCCTTTACAGGTACAATATGTATTAAACCGTCAATGTTCGATACGATACGTGATATGTATTGATAGCTTATCTACCAGCTATCGGACAGCTCAGTAATTCCTCGTATGGTGATGTCAGGCAACTTGACTTGGCCTCTTTGTTTAATGGAACTTTTATAACTAACTACCGATGATTAAATTATTTATACTTTACGTTTATTTGTTAGCTCCATTGAAATGGAGTGACGTATGAGATAATTACCTACTTCATAATTGAACTTTACGAAAGCTATGAATAATTTTGAGAAACCCTTATCACCTAGACTAGACCAGTTTTTGTATCTTTATTGGCATGACGATGATTTGAATACTTGGCATTAGTTGAGAAAGTTTTAAATAAACAACACATACAATATTACATAGTTTAGATTATACCTAGTTCAGTCACAGATAAGCGAGCGGCCCAAGTCCCAACTGAGACAGACGTGTTTTCAAACTTTCCAATATAAAATCTCAAATAGAATTAATTATGAAGACAGAAAATATAGTCGTCATCAGGACATTTAAAAGTAGTGTCCCCAGGAACAAGACTCTTTCTCTCTAATTTACTACAGGCAAATAAAGGCCTACTGCGTAGGCCGTAGACACTCTCCACACTGGCCAGACGAGTTGGGGAATATAATTAATATATTTCCACATACTTTTCTCCGGACATCCTCAATTACATAATGTGCACTACTTGGGTTTAAATACGAGTACGTTGCAGTATTCCTTAAGTGAGAATGGAACAAATCCCACGGATTTTGGGCTGAACATCAATGATTCTTTCAAATATTTTTCCAACTTCACTTGGAGAGTTCTGCCATAAGTTTCATAATAGGGGTCGCAATACCGAATCATTTCAGCAAAACCGGTATTTTCGGTATTGGCTCCAGACGAATACCGATAATCCGGTATTTTCGATATTTCCGAGATTAAGCTTAATTTAGCAAATTTAGTATAATAAAGTTAGTTTGCGGAGGTATAGTAAGTAGGTACTAAGCTAAATTAATTTATCTTCTAAATAAAACAAAATTCAGTCCAAATCAAATTGAGTTATAAAGAGGTAATCTAAATATTATTAAATCTAAATTAAATTTTTAGGCCTTGTAATGAGATCGTAGAAACAGTAAAGTATCTAAACTTTTATCACTCTTGACTTACTTGACTTAAGGTCCTATGTCCCCTAGATGGGGCAGAGGGCGTCCACAACAGTCCTCCGTCGCGTTCGGTCTTGAGCTTCGCGTTTATCTCACTCCAAGTCTTGCCAATCTTCTCCGCCTCGTCTGCCACAGTGCGCCGCCAAGTTTGCTTGGGGCGACCGCGTTTGCGTTTTCCTTGGGGGTTCCAATCAAGAGCCTGCTTGGGGATGTGATCGGGATCTCTTCGGAGAGTGTGGCCAATCCAGTTTCACTTGCGGCGCTTGATCTGCTGGTCGATCGCAATTTCGTGGCAGCGTTCCAATAGCTCGACGTTGGAGATTTTCTCAGGCCAGTATATGCCGAAAATTCGGCGAAGGCAGCGGTTGACGAAGACCTACAGCTGGTGCGAGATGACCTTGGTGACTTTTCACACCCATAGAGCAGAACGGATTTAACGTTGGAACGGATTTAANCAATCCGTAATGGTGTGCAATTCCTCACTCCAGATCGCATCTCTTGGGTCTTCCGGCAGTTAATTTTGAGCCCCGTGATGCCCGCCTCTCGATGTAGGTCATCAATTTTGGATTGCATATCGTGATGCGTGTGGCTCAGCAAACAGAGGTCATCAGCATAATCTAAGTCTTCTAAGACTCCGATTATACCGCACTCTATTCCACGCCGTTGGTTTTGATATGCACGACACATGATTCTTCCACCCAAGACAACCAGAAAGAGAAGCGGCGAAAGTAGGCAGACTTGCCGGACGCCCGCATGCACCTCGATGTCTTCGGAGATGAGGCTGTCGTGAGTGACAGTACATGAATATTTCTTGAAGATGGCCTTCATTAAGTAGATGGATATTTTTCGGCGGGACACCAATGTCAGCGAGTCTCGACCATAATAATATGCTTGCTCACTTTAGCGTATCAAAGGCTTTTTCAAAGTCCCTTTGCCATTCTGATGCTTGCTCCAAGATGATACGCAAAGTATTGATCTGGTCGGTGCACGAGCGGTTCGGGCGGAAGCCAGCCTGTTCCCTACGCAAAAGAGGTTCAACGGCTCCCGATAACCTATCCAAGATAATCTTGCAGAAAACCTTTGACGGTATCGAGAGCAAAGTGATACCTTTCAATTGCTACACTGGCTTAGGTACCCTTTCTTTGGCACAGTAAATAAAAGCCCCTTATTCCAGTCGTCTGGTAGTTCCTCTTCCATCCAGATGTTTTCGATGAGAGGTGTCAGGACGTTGGCGGCGGAGTTTACGTCGACTATCACTCAATCAACTCAAAACGAACTCGCGCGCGCGTATTTTGAATTAAACGGCGTGTAAATTTTTCTATTTGTATTTGTTTTTTATTTATTTTACTAAAACCGAAAATACCGAAAATCCCGGTTTTTGTGAAATGAATACCGGTATTAATTAGACCTAAATTTGGCCCGGTATTCCGGTATTTTCGAAATTCGGTATCCCGGTTTGCGACCCCTATTTCATAATCTTGTAAATATTCGTTTTGTGCGTAAACCTTGCTGTAATTAATTAAAAGCAGATAAGGGCTCTTCAGTTATCAAAGAGCAAACAAAGACAATTGCCAAACTCGTTTCAGTCAACAATCAACATGACTTCATCTTGGCACTGCAGCACTGGCATGAACAATGTTTTTGGGTCAAAATCATAGGCCAATCTTAAAAGTGTATTTTTTTAGACTTTTCAACTCAATGCACGTAAAACAAATATTTAGTACCTAAGTACCTACCTACTTGAGTAAAACACAATAGCATAAATAGAGCCTTATTTGCCAGACGACCTTTGAGAGTACGGTGTAATTAAAATGTGCGTGTACTATGATGATGATGGTGATGAATATGATGATTCATAAGAAGATAATCTACGTCAGAGTAAAGAGTGTTTTACAGAAGTTTACTTAGTTCCTTTTTCAGCATTTTCAGCGTAATAATTACTCAGAACGTAAAAATAAAATACTGTAGGTACAATGTAAAATAAATATAACACAGCTTACGTGAGTAGGTCTGTAGGAATGTTGAAACCTTTTATTAATCATCCGACATAAGTAGTATCATCATTATCTAAGGCAAACAGTGCGTGCTTCACATTCTGAATCATACAATTTCATTTTATGGTGAACTTCATTATCTGGGGGCACGGCAGTGCCCCCACCAAGTCGAGCAAAAAAGCGGCACGGCCGTACCATCCTTTTTTCGAAGCAATTAAGACCATTTTCGACCGCCTGTAAATTCGTTGTGGATAAAACTAGAAGGCTGAATTTTCATTAGCTATGCAGGCATTGTAAAGACACGGTATATTTAAAATTTCATTCAATTTGAACCAGTAGTTTAAGAATTATAACGGGTCAAAGTTACTTAATTTTGTCACTCACTGACTGACTCACTCACTCACTGACTCACTCACTGACTCACCGATCATCAAAACTCTAAGGCACTTCTAGCAGACCTAGAAGCTTCAAATTTGGAATATAAGTAGTGTTTGGTGTATGAATCAAGGAAAAACTAAAATATTTGGGGGCACGGTAGTGCAACCGCCAAGTCGAGTAAAATTTTTCAATTTCGGTCCAGTTTTCTAGATACATAACTGCTGTCTACAAAATACAAAAAGAAATGAGATCCCATCAAAAACAATACTTGTCAAAAAAACCAAGTCTCGCAACTCAGTTGTTCTACGGTAAAAAGTTGTGAGATCCATGTAATACCAAGTCCAGGCCAGGAAATCTTTAACGATTTACATAAATATATTGACTTGGCCATCACATGAAAACACGAGTAAATTAAATTATTTAGTGCGATGGCCAAGTCAATAATTTATGTAAAACGTTAAAGATTTCCTGGCCTGGACTTGGTATTACATGGATCTCACAACTTTTTACCGTAGAACAACTGAGTTGCGAGACTTGGTTTTTTTGACAAGTATTGTTTTTGATGGGATTAATATGTTTACTTATTAGTACCTACATAAAAGTTTGGGAGTTATACATTATGCTGCAAAATGTATGCAGTAAATGTATATTACCTAGTTCTTTAGTTCGATAAATTCTAGTAAACTTATTAAAACAATGAATCTTCGTAGGTGTCAGATAGCGACCAACATTCTGAGTGAGTTTAAATGCATTAAGAGTCTGCAGAAAACCAATGAATCTAATATTCAGTAGGTAGTAGCAATTAATAGTATCTGATCTGCTATCGTTTCTTAACATAAATACAAAGTGTTTTAACAACACTATTGTAGTATTTAGTGACTCACGAATCACGAAATAAACTCACTTATTGTAAACATTGCAACATCTCTAGTCTGCTGAAATCAGTAATAACTCAACTGTTTCCAATGAAAATTGACTTTACTACCAAGTTGGGCGCCAAAATGTAAATGGGTGAATATCCCAAACACGTTTTTTACGCGGCGGAGCTGAGAATCGATGGGAGAAATGTAACTAGAGCGATGATTTTTTTTCTGTATATAGTTTATACAGCGTTTTACACGATAGCAAAGTCTTCAGGACAATAGGTAGTTATTTTATGTACTAAAAAATTTTTCAAAGAAGCGGTGGCGCGTCCTAACTCTATTTCTACTCATAAATTGTGTTATTCCTTCTTTCTCGGGGATTCTAGTAATTTAAAAATAGTATAGCCATAAAATACATTAAATAAGACTTCCAAATGATAGGAAAGAAATGTGATATTTCATGTTTTAAGTGTTTTAAATAGCCTTTCAAAACTGTCCCACGAAAAAAAGCAATTACAGTGGCTCAATTTCGACACTCTCTTACTTCTCCAAAGAAGCTTTGAGAGACGTAGAGTTCTTCTGGCTGGATTTAGTCCTCCGTTTCTTAATTGTACTACTTTCATCTAGCTCATTGTCGCTAGGTTTGCATAGTTTTCCGTTAAATTACCCTGTCACAAATATGTAATGTGTTAGTTCAGTAGCTGGTATAGATCTAGAAATATCTTCATACTTAATCTCCAGTTCGCATGGTCTTTAGCGAATAATTAGTTGCGTAATTCTGAGTATAGGATAGGTATGATACCATCATGAAAACTTGGCTAGCCTGGACCAATATTTTTACTTATGGAAGACTAGCTTTCCGCCCGCGGCTTCGCCCGCGTGGAATTATGTCTGTCACAGAAAAACTTTATCGCGCGCGTCCCTGTTTCAAAAACCGGGATAAAAACTATCCTATGTTCTTTCCCGGGACTCAAACTATCTCTATGCCAAATTTCATCAAAATCGGTTGCGAGGTTTAAGCGGGAAAGCGTAACAGACAGACAGACAGACAGACAGACAGACAGACAGAGTTACTTTCGCATTTATAATATTAGTTGGGATAAACCTAACACCAACCTGGGGCAGTTGGTCGCCCTCCCGGGACTAGAGTTGGTTTCTGGGTTTGAGGGTCATGTATGATGTCTTTGTGATGACTCTAGAGTAACGGGGCTGTTGGCGGCTAGAGCCAGAAAGTTTTGGATTTGTTCTCTATGGAGGAATTTTGCCGTTATCACCATGCTTAGCAGGCTGGTTGGTAGTTCCAGTATGGTAGTATAATACCCGGAAAGATGCTGCAGGCGCTGCAGCCCACCCTCCAGTATTTTGATTCCTTAGTCGGCTATTACGACTCACGTGGGAAGATTTGATGCTTTTTTAGGGTCACAACACAGGCCTGAATATTGTTTTTAATTATAAACATCTTTACTGGATAATAATACTTAATTGATTACAAATAAATAAGTAATTTGAGACAATCATCCGTAGCATTCCGAAGTCCGCTGTATAAATAAATTTCGGTGGATTGGTTCTTAATTCCGGTGGCTCAAATACAATTTCGGTGGCTCTTGATAATTTCAAATTGACATATCTCGAGAAGTATTAATAATATTTTGATCTCTACCATATCATTGAATAATACAAGTTATTTACTATTATTTCTGCCACAAAAAAGTTTTGGAAAGTGGAAATTAAAATTCGCCCCCGGAATTAGGCAAAAAACGAGTTTGTTGATATTCACCCAAATGCGGTACAGATTTTAATGAAAACATTACAGTTGAGGGTTCATGAAAACATTACAGTGATTTTGCTATGATTTATGGTATTTTACTAAGTGCGACGTAAAAGTAAACGCTAGTTTTAGGAATGCATTGCAACTGTAACTAATGAATAATAATTCCTTTTGCCTCTGGTAAATTACAAAGGTCATCCTCCTGCAGTGGAGACTAAATGACATGATGATGATGATGATAAATGTTTAAGTTCAATGTGTTTAGTCTGGGATAAATTGCAAACTTTTCAGATAAGAATTTTAAGTTTCAGTTTTTTATGCTAAACAATGCAGGTATTTGACTGCAATCGCACCTGATGTTAAGTGTAAAGTGAGATGCAGTCTAGGATGGTTTAAGTACATAATTATCTGTCTGCCCTGAAAGTGCCTATTCACTATTCTATGAACAATCGAATTTTCTTCGTGCCAAAAATAAATGTGAAATTAATGGTAGACTCAGTATTTAATCTACAATGCTCTATTTTTCAGTTCGTTTGTTAATTTATAACGTCGCGTGCCTGTTAAATATCAGTTGGCCATGTTAAACTGTTGAAGTAATTAGTTCAACGGGCGCTAAGGTGCGGCCCTTATCACTGATAAGGGCGATAAGCATCCGAGCCGCGAAAAATAACCTCAATTATGATAGTGTACCCGTCATTGTTATAAGGTTTATTTCAGAACTAGCGGCCGCCCGCGACTTTACCCCTCTTAGGGGTGGAGTTTTGTAAAATCCTTTTATAGCGGATGCCTACGTCATAACATCTACCTGCATGCCAAATTTCAGCCCGATCCGTCCAGTTGTTTGGACTATGTCAGTCACCTTTGAGTTTTATATTTATTTTGATTAACAATAACATAGTATGTAAAATCTTCACTAGTGTAACACAAAGAAATTTTTGAATTGTTCTTGTTATTACTTTATTGAAATACATTAATTTGTTACAGACCTTTTACCAATTGCCATCAAGATGTAATTGGATCGGTTCAGAATGAAATGTTTAATTTTAAACACAGACATGACTTTCAGTATTGTTTTTGTCCAATGTACCAGTACCCAGTACCCATAGAGTAGCCAGTAAAAGACTCCAAGGTAATGTTGTTCAATTTGTAAATGCATGTGGACAATTACTTATGTAGTGCATTGGTAAACATCGCTATGAAGTTTCAAAGGACCTACCAAAATAAAACGAATGTTACTTTTCGGAGACTGACAAAACATCCACCAGAGTTTTGAGAACTTTATAGTAAAACAAAACACTAATGAAGCTATGTCAATGAACGTGGATGTTAAATGTGTACTTAATGACACACACAGCTCAAGCTTGTTAAGTCACAAGATTTACGCTGAATGCTGTAAAGTACACGCCAATTAGGTACCATGCATGTAATTATACTATACACTCGAAAAGATTCTAAAATCTAAAGGCTAGGCTGAAAAATCTAAGCGGAGGGATCGTTTACTTCATCAGACATGTCGTTTCTGCCTTTCATGATACATTTTAAGGATACAATTTATTTTGGAGCCATCATGCTTTTGTATGATTGAACAATGTGGTGTAAAAGATAATTGTTATGTATTTTTTCCCCTTTACGGAGAAGCCCTTGCCATACGTCTCATCTGATGGAAGGTTATGATCAGGCAAAATGTTCCTAAAATGTACTTACATTGACAAGGGCGTGACTCATAATAGTGGCTGTATAATTGCCACGCCCGTCATCATATCTACCGCCATAAAGCTGTTTCGAAGGACCAACATGACCTTCATTGGAAAAATCTCTTTTATCCCACTAAGTGATACTTTGCTTTGGAAGTACGTATAATAGTCATTGGACAATGGTATCGCAATTTTGACAAAATGGCGCCTTCCACCATTGTTTATCAGCGATATCACTCTGATAACTCTTTAGAATCCAATGATCGAATGGTTTTGTCTTTGGATTGTTATTATCAATGCTGGGTTTTGTCGTGAAATGATTATGGACTTACCGTATTCGTTATTATAATTGGTGTTCATTGTAGAGTCAGGTGAGTATAGGAGTTGCCTCTCACTCTGCTCAGCATTTGGATCCGGTTCGACATTGGCCACCGCTTCCAGTTCCACTGGCTCCTCTCCCACCAATCCATCGTTGAGCTGGTACTTCCCACTTCGGATCTCCAAATCAGCCGCCGGAACATCTGCTATAACTTCAACTGCCGATTCTTCAGGCACTTCATCATTTGGCTGCGGCAATTCCTCCGTCGGTGGTGTAACTTCTAATTTTGGGTCCACATCTAATAATAATTCATCAACAGTTCTGTCTGTCACATTGTCTACGTCCTGAGCGTATACACTTGCACTTATAACTAGAAACGCGGCTAAAACTAAAACTTTAACACCCATTGTTCAATCGATTTTTTTATCTTTCATCACATCATTTTCTTTAGTTCCGTTATCAGTTTTTTCTGCAACAACAGGTGCCTCGCAATTGTAGTGGTCGACTGGAGTGAGGTGCTTTGTGTGCTCATTGATAATGGTGTTATCAGCTAGAGATATGATAAGATAATAAATAGGAACGTTAGGTGCGCCAAATTCTCTGTCCTAATCCACGTAGCCCTATATGAATTTACTTGCTCTGTTTTTGAGGTGCTACTTCGTACTTCAACGAGTCGGAGAGTGTACAATTTGAACGACAGTTGGTTTATTACTAATGACGATTAAAGCAGTTTGTTTCGTCTTAATTGTTATCACTTAAATACCTAGTATTCTTGTAAGTATGTTTTTGTCCAAAAGGTTATCAATGGTTATCCAAAAGTAGGTAATTTTATAAAGTAATATTTTGCGGCGGATTTATTTATTAAATGTAATTTTGACAAAACTGCCTATTTGCGAGTCATATTTATTTAAAACGCTTTATGAATTTTAGTGCTAAATTAGGACACAACAGTATCTTTCAACTTCAAACATTGTTGCTACATTTGCTTTTACCGCGGACTGCATGGGACCTTTAGATTACTTATAGCAATGGAATTTACTTAGCTCAAACAGGTATTTTCTTTACAAATAAAGAACATTGTGATCGACTACGAAATCGATAAGAAGGTAGTACCTACGGTATCACGTAGATAAGTTTGTTTTTCATACGATTCCTTAGAATAGTGATATGATTCATGAATTTTTCAGCTTGTATGTAGTATCAGTAGTTAGGTACTTCCTTTTTGGAAGTAAAAGATTTGTCATGGCGGATGTTTGATTACAAACATATTACGCAATAAAGTAATTACTTACTTACGGGACTATTCCCACCTCTCGTTCCCACTGCTGTAAAGTTGTATAGCCTTTACAGCATGCGCGTATACTTACATATTATACAGGGTGTCCCAAAATGTAGTGTCAAGCCGAAGACCAGAGGTAGAACATCACTAGGGCTATCCAAATCACCCCATGTAATATGTTCCGCGATTTTTGATAGTTATCGAGTTATGATTGCTTTAAATTTGTGCTTAGGCACTTTTTTGGTTACTGTGGCGCGAAAAGTACAGACTACAGTTACATGCCTGATTTTTTTATTATTATTAGATTAATACTAGGCCTCCCTGATTCAGAAGTATTTACATTCATAACACGAATGTAAACTAAAATCCTCTATGTTGTAAAAAATAAATTGTAACTCGAAAACTATCAAAAGTCACGGTGATTTGCGTAGCCCTAGTGATGCTCTATCTCTGGCCTTCCGCTTGACACTACTTTTTGGGGCACCCTGTATATGTATACGCATACGGTAATGAATTATCTATCATATCTATCATGACCGCCAATAAAAACCCAACCAGTGAAGGTCAAGTTTGTCCCGGAGGAAAATGAAACTGTCATTGGACTCGCGACGAAATTAATCAGAAGAACATAGGAGGAGTTTGAAGTTAAAGTTCAACTACCCTTGCAAAGTGCAGTTAATTTCTTGTAATATCAATACCTACTAGTGTAGCTATTACTTCATCGTTTCAGTTTAATGTTGTTGACCGCTGGACAAAGACCTCCCACGGCATGGGCCGGTTCTTAGTTCGTTTTAATATTATCTTCTAAATACTAAATGTAATTGAATTTCTTTCCAAGAAATCAATTTCCATGCGGCGAACTTTGATTTGATATTTTGTGCCGAAGAGTAACTATATTTAAGGCATGTTCACCATCATCAGGTCATTGTTTCCACTACTGAAGCACGACCCTCTAATTTACCAGAAGCAAATGGAGGATTTGGCCTACACTCCCCACGTTGGCCAGATGGGTTGGGGAGATGGGTTAGGTCATGTTAAGTGACTTAAAATTTCCCTTTAATAACTGACCTACTCTGACCTACCATACCAAAGTACTAACGCATAATCAAAACCTACTTAAGATACATACATAGGTAACTATTATAGTAGAAACCAACTTTAACGTAATAGTTTAAAGATACATATTTAACCGATACAAATACATAAACGAACACATAACAATGTTATCTGTCCATGCAAAAGTAAACTTGCACCACTCGAGAAAATTCTAGCACACATTAAAAAAGTTATGTTCCTTATTGCATTTGAGATAAAGGCCAAAAGCAGTTGACATTCTATCGTACACAACAACAATAAGAGGACAACTCCAAACCGAGTGCAAAATAAACCACACGGCCCTAATTCTACCAATTGTTGGACATTTGTAACAAACAAGACGCAAAATATCTACCATGCATCCATTGCTCCCTTTGTACGCTACATTCAAGATGTCAATTGAAGCTACCAAGCAATGGTCAAGGTGCATTCTTTTGAAACCTACTTTCAATTACTGCTAATCGTCTTACAATGTAGTAGCTTCTACGACGTACGTAAATGTAAGTAAAATGGACTAGGGATGTTTGTACAGAGGTCGGATATTTTTATCCGAAAGTTTGACGTAACAGTTCTTTTTTAAGCATAAGCTTAAATATACTTAAGCCATTCACCATTCTCATCATCTCACCTAAAATACTACACCTAAAAATACTATAAGATGCGTTCTAAATACAAGGAATCTTTGCAAATTAGGTAGGTATAGCTGCAGTAAGTTGCCATTCTATTTCAACCAAACTTTCTTTGAATAATCCAGATTTTCACAAGGTGGACCGACGACTTCATAAAGGTAGCAAGAAGGCGATGTACTCGTATATGCAGGCCCTTGTGGAAATCATTTCAGGAGGCCCTATGTTCAGCAGTGGACATCCTGAAATGATGAATCCATATGACTGAAATGATGATGATGTAGAATCAAGATTTTAATATTTAAAAATTACAAAGTTCAATAATAATGGAAGACTACGAAAAACTGAATACCTAATTGAACGTAGAAGCAAAATAAGTGTTACTTGTAACTAATATTCTTTATATAAATATTTGGTTTAACTTAGGTATTGATTGATGGCTTGCAAATATTATCCGAACACACGTCTCTATGTCCGAACGGTTCTGCACTATAAAGTGCACGGGTGCGCCGGCGCCGCCACACACCGTCACGCTGCGTCGGCTTGCACCTGTGTATCGAGTACTTCAGTTTTTGCAAGAATAAACAAAATGCCTTGCGGAGGTTGTGGAGACAGTGAGTAGTGTTTTGATTCTTAGCCCTTTATACCTAGAACTAGCGGCCGCCCGCGACTTCGTACGCGTGGATCCCGTTTTACCCCCTTCATCTATCTTACGCGGTTTAGATTTTTTCATACCAATGTTTTTCCCGCTAACTCCCGTTTCCGTGGGAATTTTGCAATATCCTGTTGTAACTAAGCTTTGAGTTTACTAAGGTACCTGCATGCCAAATTTCAAGCGTTTAACTTAAGCAGTTTAGATTTTTCATACAAAAGGATTTTCCCGCTAATTCCCGTGCCCGTGGGAATTCCTAAGTATCCTATAACCTGCCCAGGAGTACGAAGAATAATTGTACCAAGTTTCGTTAAAATCCGTCAAGTAGTTTTTGTTTCTATAAGGAACATACAGACAGACAGACAGACAGACAGACAGACAGACAGACAGACAGACAGACAGACAAAAATTTTATTGATTGCATTTTTGGCATCAGTATCGATCACTAATCACCCTCTGATAGTTATTTTGAAAATATATTTCATGTACAGAATTGACCTCTCTACAGATTTATTATAAGTATAGAATAGATAGTATACCTTGAGTCCTTTAAGATACCCTATTTTAAATTGTAACACTTTTCGTCTTGTTTCATTGCGGCGAAATCTACTTTTGACCATCAATGCGGTGCTTTACCCGTCTGTTGTTTTGTTTATTTAATTAAGAAGTTTCAGAGTCTTTCAGTAAATAAGGGGTCAGTTGTTTAAAACATAAAATAATAATTATGCAATTAAATAGAAATTAAGTATGAAAAAAAAAGCATTTTCGTGTTGGTTATGCACACCTAAACTAAATAAGCATTTCTTTGCAACTTCTTTGAATTCTAAGTATTTGTCCTTTAATAACATTGGAGGACTCACGGTCAGTGGAGATAATGTCAGTGGAGATAATTGACCGCCGAACAACCTTCTCAATGACAATAAACAAGTTCGCTCAAAGCTCTCACTGTCCTTCAAAATGAATTGTTTTTGTTGGCATTCGTTGTATTTTCAGCCTAAGATAATAAGCATTGGTGCATATCGAAACCTTACAACTGTACTTATTCTATCTGTACTAATATAGGTAGATAATAAATTATATTTAGTGTCATACTATCTTAATATTGATATCACGGTAAACTGAGATACCTATATACTGTTTATTGCTCTTGTCTAGATAGGTCTACCTATCTAGAGCTATCTACAGCTCTCTAGCTGTAATACTTCACAAGATTATACTTTATTATGGTTCTGCCTTGGGTATTTGATACCACAAAACATAGATATCAAGGCACAGGTCTTTAAAAATACTAAAATTAAGTTCGCACACATATCTTTGCACATTTTAATTTTAAATAAAGTTAATGCATACCAAAACCTAATAGGAATTGCATTTTGCTACTGGAAATTGAGTAAGGTCAGTTCACTATACATCTTAAGTATTTAATTACCTTGTAGGTATATTAAAATTAAGTTCACGAAACTAAGTTGCTTCAGGGAGTTACATTATTTATAAACTTCATCTTTATTTTGACTTTAGCTCAGCTAAGCTTAACATTCTAACAAGAACTAAACAATGGTCAAGTTTCGGTCGATTTCGTGTGTTTTCAGTAGGTTGTTTATAAACAATGGCAGCCTTCGATGTTATCGATTTGCTAATTACCTGGGTAATGCTGTTAGTTATGCTTTAAAGTGTAATATTCGACATGCTGTAAATTGTATGCATAATAAGCCTATATCTTCAGAATGAAGTAGGTATAGTTCTAAAAGACTGCGGCTGTTATTATAGATTTTCCATGAAGAAGAAAATGTTTGCGTTTTAAATGATATTTCGCATCTTAGTCACATTTTATTAATACGTTAGAAAGTGTTGATTATGCTTTTGCCAATCTGAAAATAAGTAGTCATATGTCTAAATATATTTTAACGTAAAGCTTCATGCTCTACATTTCTACAAAATATTTAAATTTAAAAAACTTTTTTATTACATAATAGCAAACTACAAGAGTCTTTAGTAATGTTCATAGGTATCTCGGTTAGCATGGTATTGATCAAAACTTTAATTGTATTTTGTGCAGCGCACAGGTTAAAAGTTCAGTCAAATGCCAGTCAGGGCGCCTTTTTAACACAAAATACCTACCTATATGACGTGTATATTTTATTTCTGTTATTATTTTGTGTTTAATAAAGATTTTCTATTTCTATAAATTTAACCATTCTCTTCCTTGACAGATTGTAAATGCACAGCATCGCAGTGCTGCCAGAACTGCAAATGTGACTCTTCGTGCAACTGCGCTGCCAAGAAGTCGACCTGCAGCGGCGACTCCTGCGCAGCCCCCAAAAAGTAGGGGATAATGGCTCAAATACAACTGTATGATAGTTATGTATTTAGTGTTTAGGACAACAAAAGAGACACAGCTCCTCCAAATTCGTACCTACATCACGTGTAAAAAGGGCATATTTTGGAATTTTTTCGGCGTCTATTTCTGTTCATTTAAATACTGTAAGTAGCCTCCCAAGATATCGGCCATCGTGAAGAATGAAGGCCAAATCCTTCATTTGACTGTTAAATGAATGAAAGAATCTTTGTGCTCAAGAGCAAGCTGTGAAGACTAAATGAACTGAAGATGAAGTGGCTGTGTCTGTTAATGTGATTTAAGTATTTGTTTATCATCGTATCTACTTATAATTATGTAGAATATAAGTCATTTCATAACATGAGCCAAAGTCAAGCGATATTCGTGTAAATTTAAAATGATCATGTCCATAAAACGTTATAAAATACATTCATCTTGAGTTGTTATCGTTTACCTACTGATACTGTTGCTGTTTATTTTTAATAATGACAACATAGCCCGTTATCTAAAGTGTAATAGCTATTGTTTCAAGCTTTTGGTTTCCAATTGATCGTGTAATTTATTACTGTAAATCAACAATGCATTTTATGCTGTTCCTTTTTTTTGGTGTAACACATTCACTGTGTAAAATAAAATTAATCATCACATCACTAAAGTTTTTTATTGTTTCCCTGAATAGTCCGCATAACAACAAAAATAAATTAACTAAACTAAGATGATTTTACTAACAAAGTATATTATCTACAGTTGTTCTTCACTTCATGCAAGTTGTACCTGTAAACAAATAGATAAATATTAATGTGTCTCGATAATGCATTACAGTTAAGGTAGGTAGGTACTTAGGTAATTTTATTTTGATGAATAATATTTTACTATTTTATTTAAAACTCATTAAAACTCATTTATTTCTGTAAATAGGCTTAAAAAAAGAACTTTTACACGTCCCAGTATTAACCCTACCACTGCTTCAGGACAACAAGGACATTTATTTATTTTATTAATAATTTACTTAATGTAGAGCTATTTCGCTTATACAAGTACTTTTCAATACCTAAGTGCAATTAGTGCAACAAAACGTAGGTTCGTTCGTGCGTTTCAGCCATTTGACGTCCACTGCTAGACAAAAGCCTCCTCCAAGGATTTCTATAACAACCGGTTCTGCGCTACTTACATCATAAGTAGGTAACTTTTGTTTTACGTGAGTATGGTTAGTTACAAAAGTCTAAAAAGTAAGTAAGGTGGTATGTTTTTGAGATTTTAAGTACTCACTATCAATGCGGACATCATGACAATCGCAGCCAGGTCCGCAATCATCTTTCCAAGGGTCATAAACGCCAAAACCTTGAACAATAAACGATAATAGATAGTAGGTACTAAGTAGTAGGTACTCATTACCGCATCTCTTAAACATTATTAGTTAGGTAGGATCGACGGTTTGTAGAATTGACTAAAGGCGGACAAGTAAACAGGCAATAAAATCCTAAGGTTTAAATGAGTCCCGGGAATGTTAATTGGTCATTGGATCCGCGAGGAAATTAACCAGAAAAAATTTAGGAACGCGTCAAGAGATCTTCAAAAAAACATCTTCAACATAAAATCTAATCTAGAAAGTAAGTATAACAGTCATTGGGCCTGCAAAGAAGTGTACCAGAAAAAAATAGGAAGATTTCATAGCAGACGGAAATTACAGTATCTGGAAATACACGACGTCGCCGCAATTGTTACAAATCATAAACATTATTTCTGACGCATAAATCATAAATATTGATTGATAACGCAACTGCAAAATAGGTAGAGGTTATCAGAAATTAATTAAATGTCACGACACGACAGTAGATAAAGCGAAAACTCTACAAAGTTATCAACTCTATAAACTTACATGATTTGTCGTCAATCACTTTCATAATGAAGACTTGAGTAAATCTTTAGAAATGTAGATATGACACTATGTGATTGAGTGTTCAAATATTTAAATTTATTGCTCTTTGAAACGACTTCTGTATCACAAAACCTCTATGCAACTGTCCACAGTGCAGTTATTGTCGTCACAGAATATTAGGTATTGACAAAAACATTGTTGAGTAAGTAAAAAATGACATTGAAAATCAAGTAACGAGATGTAACGAATTGATTGAGTGCAATCATTGAACAATTGAACATCGTTGTTATTCGGATTACAGACTGTTTTTATTCTATTTTTTTTTTACAAATGATGGAAACAAACAAGAATTGTTGCAAATTAGGTAAAGTTGGTACATTTTAATGAGTTTCAAAAGCATCATCATCATTTCAGCTACAGGACGTCCACTGCTGAACAAAGGCTCCACCAATGATTCCACATCGCCCGGTTGGTAGCGGCCTGCATCCAGCGCCTTCCTGATTGATACCTTTACGAAGTCGTCCGTTCACCTTATCCGTCTATCCAGGACGTACCACGCTGCATTTTCCGGGTCAAAAGCATATAAGACTAAAAAGTATGTGTTAGAAAATCTGGCTGAAATTTTCCCTTAAATACCACAGCACATTCAATAATTCTTTACTATTTCATGATCTTCTCTAAATCGTTAATCTAAGAACGGATTAGTAAATGCATCGAATCAAAATCGAAAACAAAAATCTCGTTAATCGCCTTTGTCACGTAAAACGAATACTATTTGCTCTAATTTTTTATATCTATTGTGGATGCTTCAATGGCGACAAAAACATCGAGGTCTAAAGTACAACCTTGTTGGCTCAATTTTGTTTGTCTACTGAAGTATATAAGCCAAAATTGTGATTGGGAAATCGTAGTCTTCCACCGACGTTTCAAACTTAAGTATCTTCTATTACCCTCAACCAAATCCAATATCAAAATGCCTGCCCCATGTGAACCCTGCAAAGGTAAGTTACTGTCCTACAACGTTTAATCTTGAGAAAATAGCTAGATAATTTTCTTATCCGCATTGTAATGATGATATTGTGTTTTTTAATTCCAGACTCCTGCAAAGATGGCGCTGATTGCAAGGATAACTGCACCTGTGAAGACAACTGCTCAGATTGTTCTAAGACAGGTAAGCATAATTAGGAACACACTTAGTTAGAAATTTTTTAAGCACCTTATTATTTGTGCCGAAATATTTTCCATTCACATGATGGGAATATTTTAGTAGTGAGCCCGATACGATTACCTACATTTCTTAATCCTTTCTTATATTAAAAGAACTACCTCTTAGTTGTGACTATCTCACCCTATGGGTTCAGTGATCTATCATAGAGGGCTTTGCTTAGATAATGTTATGAGGCTTATCTGTAGGGAATTCTACTTCTTAGGTATTAAAGATAGTATGGCAAAGTCCTTGGTACTTATAAATACTCGTAGTATCCCTATTATAACTAGTATCGCAATTTAACTAGATGAACTTATTTTTCCCTTCTTTCAAGGTGGTTGCTGTTAATAAAGAGGACCTCGCTCACTAGAATGGAGAAACGTGCTGTGGCTCTTGGATGGATCTGAAATTCTAGTTTAATTCACATTTAGTTGTTCATGAAATAAAAATGGTGCTCTAAATTACTTGATTTTCTTTTGACTTTGACTTGAAATTGTACCCTACAATACAAAAAATAAATAGATACCTAATTTATAACGTCGATAGCACATAAGCCTAAAGAATCTTTTACTATTATTAAAGTATTTAACTTGCACTTTTCTAATATTACATACAGTAATTTTACATGGAAGTCACATTATTCAGACGCAGCTATCGAATAATTAAGACTTACATTGTTTTAATGAAGTGTACCTATGGTACTTATGTTTTATGTTCTAAAACGACATATTATTATTTTCTTTATTGAAGCAAAGTAAAAAGTCATTTACCAAAAAAAGCTTCACATACATATAAGTTAATGTAGTTATTGTGGCAGTTGCATTAAGCTGTGCTTCGCAATAGAATCTAGAATCTAAAAAATGTAAGAAAAGAAACTAACATCAGCTTTGGAAAAATCGATGTTTGGGATTTCTTTCGTTCGTTCGTTGGTTTCAGCCGAAAGACGTCCACTGCTGGAAAAAAGCCTCCCTCAAGGATTTCCAGTAAGACCAGGCCTGCGCCGCTCGCATCCATGGATTTCTTTCAGTGATTTCTTTACTAAAGAATAAAATCCAATATGAGAACATTTGTCAGAAGAACATAGTGGAGATAGTCCAAGATGTTGTATAGTTTTAATGATAAGTAGTGGCATAAACGAATTCTCGAATGCAGAACACCTAGGTATATCGTAGGTGTAAAAGGTCAGTAGGTTCGATGCACCGACGACTTAGTGCAGATGAAAACATAATTTGATAACACGTAATAAATCATAATAAGATGCAATTAATTAGTTCGTAATTCTCAGAATGGTCCTATTCTAAACGGGAGGGAAACTACACATGTGCACTTTGGCACCTTGTGCAGGTGTAACAGGGACTATTTTTTTTAAAGAATTTTAATAGTCCGATGAACTGTCAACTGTAGTACAAGTCCTACATTTAAACTTTCTGAATTGAATGACCTTTTTTCATCTGTTTCTATTAATACAAGAGAGTACAAGTTCCAATCTAATTAAGGTTGACGACAATATTATTGTTTTAAAGATTATTCTCCATCTTAAGTATGCATCAGCCAAGCATCATAGGCTGTAGAATCGAAGGATAAAAATTTACGAGTAAATAGGCAGGTGCTAAGTATTGAAGCTTTATGAAGAATGTAGAGTATTCGTGTTATATTGAGATATTTGAAAATCCAAGACTTTGTTTCATTAATTTCGATTCCAATTGACGATAAAACTATGGAGTTTTAAATCGGATGACATGGACAGTATGTGCGCGCCATTGGTCTAGCTAAATCGTGGTACAAGGTACAAAAAATATAAAATATTTTTGGGAAGCAGTTGATCGACTGACGAAACGTCACGAAATCTCAGAAACTACAAGTGCTAAGAGTCTCAAATTTTGCATGGGGGTTCGTTTTAGAACGTAGGTGCTTAATAAGATTGCTTATTGCTTAATAAGAAGGATTTTACGAAACTCCACCCCTAAGGGGGAACTTCAAACTGGGAAGTAGTCCGTTTAGTTCTACTAGTAGAACTGAACGGTAATTTTTACTAAACTAACGGACTACTTCGCTGCACTATTGTTGTTAACCCTCGTAATCGTAACACAAGGATGTTAAAAATCTTACCACGAGGGGTGAACAGTAGGGTGGTCCTTATTTTTCGACTTTTGAATTCTCCCCGGGGCACTTTTTCATTCGATTATATACCTCTAAATATGAAATTAGCTTTTTTTGTTTTTTTTTTGGTTAAGATTTAGAGGTCGCTACCAGCTGTCAAAATATTTACAAAAGCTTTGAAGATCTTAAATCATGGTTTCATAAATGTTTTATTTAAGTGTTTATATCACATTTTAGGTGCAAATGAACATCGCATAGATAAAATAGACAGTCGCTTCTTGTCCCCTTCTCCCCTCAACCACTCTTCTGTACCGACCATGGTACCGACTCGTCGAGATACTAACAAGTAAACTCTTATATCTTAAAAATAATTGATTCAAATAATGTACATTGTACATAATTATTTTAGTTCATAGCAACAACAATAATTTTGTAATATTTTTATTTGGCTTTGGCTAAAAATAAATGAATCTAACAAATACAGATTTTGTGTTTTTACTTAAAATTCAAACCTTGGTAGCGACCCCTAAATGTCTTTTAAAAATTAAAAAAAAAAAATAATGAAAGACTTTCATATGGTATATATTCAAATTACGTGGTGCCCCGCAAAATATAAGAAAAAAAATTTTTTTCGTAGGAATAAGGACCACCCTAGTGAACAGTGAACAAGATTATTGCCGGACAGTTTCAATTGTTATACTTTTGTGATTATGAAATTAATAAAATCGATTGAAATAGAAACTGAACAGAGACAGTCTAATAGAAACTTTCAAAAAACAGTCAGTAGGTAACAGGTATTGATAGGAGTATTAATGAAATGCAACGCATAACATCAACGCGCGTTTATTTCATATGTTTATATGAGGCAGTAGAACAGCATGATGGTGACGAAGAAGACGGCGGAGAAGGCGACGGGGAAGCACACCTCGAGCAGCGCCGACACGCGCGCGCACAGCGACGGGCGGCGCGCTCGCCGGCGGGACGCCTCCATGACGTCTTAGCAGCAGCCGCCTGGAAGAAATAGGTTCTGTTAGAGCTAGTTCTGCGTTTCCCTAAAAGATGGCGTCAATAACATCTGCGAATAAAGACCAAGTGACACATTTTGCGGAGCAAAGTAACCACAAAAATACAAATAAGAAACGCCGAAGGTATTTTGAAATTACCTACAACTGTCACGTTTAACCACTTGTCTGGGGCTGTTATTGTAACGCGCAGTGTCCAGGTTTTTGGACCAGCATTTTGAACAAAGCCCAGTTGTACTCGTATTTTTAGCACCCTAAAATATGGCCGGAATAGTCATCAATTTATTTTAGCATCCAAGAGTGTTGTAGTTGTTATTCTTTAAAAGAATTTTATTATTCTAAAGTTTGTATTGAATTCATGTAAAAATTACAAGTACGTTACCTTTTTTTATGCATAACAAGTTTTGTCGGGAGTATTCTCACCCGTCATTCCCACCACTGCAACTCCTGCGTATCTACAAGCCAATAAAAACCCAACCAGTGAAGGTCAAGTTTGTCCCGGGGGAAAGTTAAACTGTCATTGGACCCGCGCGCATCAGAAGAACATAGGAGGAGAATACGTTACCTGTGGATGAGCAATCGTTGCAGCCCTTATCCTTGCAGGAGCAGTCGTCTTTGCAAGACCCGTCCTTGCAGGAATCTGAAACGTCAAATATTCCAGATGATCACTCATTTGTTTTGTTGTTAACAAATTGTAACGTTAGTGAAACAGTATTGTAGGCAAAGGTATTTGACCTTTCGTGCGTTTCGTAAAGTACCTTGGAGATTATTTCCTTTGTTCATAGAGCAATTACTTCAAAATACGGTCATATTTTGTGGATACATTGCTGCTTTATCACAAAAAGTATCTTTATTATCATTTGGCAGCCCAAGAGAGACTGGTGAAATTATTTTTGCTGCTTAATGTTTTATAGTGGAAAAGTTTTTTTACACCATAAGACGTAATGATTGAATAACAAGCGGTAATCTTAGAGGTTAAATGCGTTTTATTAAATTGTCTCTAGTTATGTTTCTTTGTCAATTCTTCAAATTAAAAAACTGCCCAAGTTCGATTTTTTCAAGTTATTTATAATTTTCAAATTAGTTTGAGATGCAACTCTTAACGCTAAAACTTAAATAATTCTTCAATTCTTAATTAATGACGTTAATTACTAATTACTAATTTGTACTTAAAATTATTACTAAATTACAGCCGTCGGAATGGTGGTTCACATCACACCGAACAAATCCATTGTCGGAAGCATTCGAATCCCACTAGAAGCAAACTTTTATGGGATGAGCACGAACATTTACTTTGTTACAACAAAAAATTTAGTCAAATACCATACCATGTTGATACTGAGCATTGCACTGCAGTCCATATCTTTGGCGATCTGAGTAATGATAATCTTTGATTGCAAAATGAAGTACCAAATGTAAACAGTTCATTCTTCTTTAGGTAAGGTACTTGATACAAATAAGGCCTACGTTCTAATAAGGCCTATACATCAGAAAACACAGATAAATAAATCCAACCGGGATAATACTTCAAGGACACGTACTCATATGCCATACAACCCGGTAGAGTGCAAGAACGTCCCGATCCACGATCCCAGCACCAATTGGCACGCGTTCTTCTAAGGTGGTGGGTGATTTCGTGCTCTCTTATAAAAATCTGGCGATTTCATCTTAAATTTTCGGTAAAATAACGCTGTTTTAGATTAAGCTTTTCTTAGTAATCGTTTCTAAATATTTCTTACTAGCTAATAATTACCTTAATTTGTACTACTGGCTATAGATGCATTATTTGTAAATTTTTAAAGACAACAAGAGCGAGATATCTAATAAGGCCTAGGCCTTATTTCAGCATGGTAGGCCATATTGGATACTTATGTCAACACCTGATTACGGACAAATTCATTAAACTAAATGAGTCAAAGAGTAACTAAATATTTATTTAATAAGAATGTTACTAACAGCATAGAAAATAAAAAGAAAACAGAGTAAAAAATACAGTATATTTCTGTTTACTTGGTATGTAAAATTTTGATAACGCAAACAAATCGACGTGTTTAATGTTATAAGACCGCATTTTGTTTAATACAACCTCAATTTTAAGGTCTACAGGCACTTGAATCATATAGGCCTTATTCCGTGTAGGTGATTTAATAAAGCCAAAATCAGTGGTTTCGTAAATTGCTTATTTTGAATAGATTTAATTAAAAATTGTGTTATTTTTTGTAATATTGCTAAAATTAAAGGATGGAAGAAGTTAATTAACCTTGTTTTTGTTGACTGGCGTTAATATTTATTGAAATATAAGCATTTAAAGTTAGGTAGGC